GTAGACGATCTTGTCCTGGTGCTTCTCTGGCTCTACAAGTTCTTCATTTGACATTGGCGCGTATTCTTCATGCTTTTGAGTTTACTAAGCCTATTGATGGTCAACCTATTGACTTGACCGAGAGTCCGGGATTGACTATACCTAAAGCAACACCATTGGATGTTCTCATTGCTCCGCGCCTCAGTGCCAACCTTTATGGTTGTTGATGCATTTGTTATCGTTAGAATCAACCAGTTCAAGTTGGTCGATTAATCCCTCCTTTCTATTGAATAATAATGCAAGTTTGTACCTTCATTTCATATGTATAAGATATTGGAGATGTCTTAAATCAAGATTGTTGCAACCTGTAGCCTATGACTCTTGGATAATATATGCAATTTCTTTTTCTATTCCGCTTTGTTCTCGTTCATTTAGACGATTCATCAATAAAACTATTTTTATACTATATGTCAAACTATATAACAACTCTTCCTCTTTCTTGAATTGAACTCAAAACTAGTTATATTTTTCAAAACAAAGAGTAATGCAAATATTGGTTTGAATCCAATCCCTCGAAAACCCAAAGGGTTCCTCTATAAGGTTCGTTCATAGAGAGCGAGTCAGAGTGTAAAATCAGGCTGAAAGGCGTAGATGGACACTAGGTGAATATTCTTGTTCTAATCCTCATTTAAACGATTCATCACTAAAACTATTTCTAAGCTAGACGTCAAACTACCACAACTCTTCTTTCTTGAATCGAACTCAAAACTAGTAATATTTTTCAAAACAAAGACTAACACAAACATTCGTCAAAATCCAATCCCTCGAAAACCCAAAGGGTTTCTCCACAAGTTTCGTCCACATAGAGTCATCAGAGCCTAAAATCAGGCTGAAAAGCGTACTCCATGAACAACAAGTGAATATTCTTGTACTAATCCTCATTTAAATGATTCGTCACTAAAACTATTTCTATGCTAGATGTCAAACTACCACAATTCTTCTTTCTTGAATCAAACTCAAAACTAGTTATATTTTTCAAAACAAAGACTAACACAAACATTGGTTCGGAATCCAATCCCTCGAAAACCCAAAGGGTTTCTCCACAAGGTTCGTCCATATAGAGAGTGAGTCAGAGCCTAAAAGGCATACTCCATGGACAACAGGTGAATATTCTTGTACTACCCCTTGTTCAACATGTGAAAAAGAACATTATATACCAAAAAATTATATATAATATAAGAAACCAATGGCCAACAAATTTACACACCATTTAATTGTACAAATCTTACAATTTTACAATAATAACCCCCAACAAATCTTCTCTATTTCCCAATGAGTGTAAAAAAAACACAACACACATCAAACACTTTTTCACAGATACCTAATTAGTTGCTCAAACTCATCACTTTCAATGCCACACCCATATTAGATTCTCCAAAAATACACTACTTTTGGAGAATCCGACACACACCCGTTGACTCTTTTCAGAGTCTAAGCAACATAGACAAATTACAACATCTATTGAACATCTCCATTGTGCATAATTGGTGCCATTTCAGAAACACTCCAAACTTTGACAGACTTATCAAGACTCCCACTATAAAGTACCCATTTTTTATCACTTGTTGTTGATTCTTTATCCTGTTCAACAGCCAAACATTTCACAGGTCCATTATGTCCTGTCAACATAGACAAACATGTATGAACACAACCTTCTTTTCTCCAAACACAAATGTTCTTATCTGCTGATCCACTAAACACAAGATTCCCAGCTGATTCAAGACACAACACAGCCAACTTATGACCCTTTAGTACACCACCATGTGTCCAATTCTTCTTCTCTTTTTCCCAAAAGTTCACAACACCATCTGATGAACCACAATACACAACAGAACCAGACTTGTTAACTGCTAAAGCAGTCACAGCACACTCCTGATTCAAAAGTGTTTGAACCAAAACATGTCGTATCGTCTTTGGTGTGAACTCTCTTTGCCATATCTTGACAGTACCATCAGCTGAACCGGTGTAGACAACGCCATCAGCACTAGCTACGACTGAATTAACAGCGTCTTCGTGTGCTTTAACTGATTCGAGACATTTTGAACTGTCAGCTCTCCATACTTTGAATGTTCTGTCCCATGATGCAGAGTATAATAGGCCATGATTATGGTCCATGCTTAAACAAGATATTGCATCCCAATGTTTGATCCAAATTGAAGCTTTGTTGTGTTTTGCTGACATGAAGTAATTGCTTGGCCTAATTGAAGCCTTGAAAATGTCAAAGAATGTTGGTAGAGTTCCAGCAGGCTTGAAACTACTAGGGTTGTTAGGTTGTACCTGTTGAGATATAAAGTCTCGTAACTCGTAATAGTTCAAACTTTCAGATGAGATAGTCATACGAGTTTGTAAAGGAGGGATTTGAGAAATGCAAAGAAACAATTTTTTAAACTACATTTAGGAAGTTCCGCCTTCTTATCTCATGTTGAGTCACAAGAAGCGCCTCAGAAAGGATGGACAAGACACATACAAGAAGCGCCTCAGAAAGGATTGATCACGTCATGTAGGAACAATGGTAATCTATGTTTTACCTTTTTCCTTCTATTCAAAAGACGAGCAACCCTTAAACAAAACGATCTTAGAGAGGGTTCTTCTTACTAGATTCTCTTATAACAAGGAGATTCAAAAATGTATATATTTCATCTGTTTCAATTCCTGTGACATATTTTTCTTTTTAATATGTCACAAAAACGTTATTACCTTTTCATATTTTTCTTTTTAATATGCACAAACAATCACTAACACATAATTAAGATTAAAAAAATGTATATACAAAGAAATCTTCATTTATTTTTACTCTATTCACGCAATATAATTTTTGAAGAATTTTTTTTTGAAGCCAAATTCATTACACATGGCTCCACCGTTGCACACAAGACAAGAGGTCGTCCTGGTACAATTCTCACCGCCATCCATTATCAAAACGATTTTCCACATCTTTTTCCCACAAAAAAAAAAAAAATCAAACAAAACATGTTGAAATATAACATAATATCACTACTTTTTTTTAAAAAAAACAGTATATATGTTCTATGTAACAAATTTAAACAACGAGATGGTCACATAATTCAATAGTACCTTCCAAACACGAACTTTTCCATCTTGATGACCGGTGAATATCTTATCTCCAGAAATAATAATAGCTTTAACAAGTCCACTATTTGATTTAAAAGCTGAAAATTCCTTCATATCTTTCCATACACGTATATTTTTACTATCAGAACCTGTATAAAGAAGATCATTTTTTGTAGCTAAAGAATAAATATGTCCTTCTTCACGTACAAGTGAACCAATTAAACAAATTTTATGATTATTTTTCGTAGCATCGTCATCATCATCATTTATAGCATTTAAATTACAACTTTGGTTCCATGGTGACATATTCATAGGAGAATTTTCACAACTAAGACGATCATACGCCGAAAATTTACTTTTTTGAACGTTAAATTCATCGTCATTCATAGTAGATGACATGTTTATAAATTAGATGAAAGGGATTTTTTTAAAAATAAAAAAAAATTGGGGGAAATTATGGTGGATTATGGATTTTTTTTTTTTGTTGTATTTGACATTCTAGTTGTTTTTCCACCATAAAAGAAAAAGAAGAGATTTTTTCTTTTTGATGTTTAAAATATGAGAAGAAAAGATGGAAAGGAAAATTAATGAATTTGGAGAGAATGGAGGAGAGGTTTTGTAGGGAATATGAAAGGAGGGGAAGATGAAAAAATGGTTTTAATTTGTATTATTATGAAATTTATAATAATATGGGAATGGAAATGAAGGGGTGATAAGATGTTGACACATATATCGATAGCGATAGAGTTAGAAATTCATATAACGATTTATTTTTGAACCGTCCACCTCAATTTTAAAAGGCATAAAGCTCATCGACCGAGCTAGCTTCCATGGTTAGCTAGGATTTGAACTTATGAGTTATAATTTTTTTAAAGGCAAAAGGCATAAATTACCCCCTAAACTTGTACCCAAAAGTCATTTACACACTTTAACTAATGGGGCGACCTATTACACACCTTAAGTACATAAAAGTATATTTATTTCCCCCTTCCGTCACCCTAGTTTAGGGGGCAATTTATCTCCATACCATACATGAGCTGCCAGGTGAGGAGTTGGAAAATCATACAATTACGTATTAAGGTGAAACACAAGAGGCAATAAGGATAGCTCCTTTAAGAAATAATTAAGCTAATCATTGCATTTCCATCCGTGAACTGACTTTTTTTTTCTTTCTCCTGTCCATCCTCATTTTGAGGTTCGATTAATTTAAATTCACGTTAAAAAATCTTACTTTGAAGGATAAAACACTCTCTATCATTCAAAGACGATTTGATACTCAAGACACAAATATAAAATATTTGATTAAGGATAAATGACCGCTTACCATTCCACTACAATCAAATATACCGGTGTTTGATATATGTTTTGAGGCTCAATCGCACCAAAAGATTTTACTAGGAATAACTCACTCCCTATCAAAAACCACTTGATGCCCAAGGCTCGAATCTGAAATAGCAGATTCAAGATGGATTAATACTCACCACTCCATCGCAATCAAATAAACCAGGGTTCCATATCCGTTTTGGGGCTCGATTAATCCGAATTCACACGAACATGTCTCACTTTGAAGAATAAAACATTCCCGTGATTCCATATTCAAATCTCAAACCCAAAAAATATTTGTTACTCCACAATCTTTGTTGATAACCATGAACAATGACTTGCCTATCTACATAACCTACATTTGTAGGTAGGAATTCGAAAATCAACAAAATACTTAACGGCATAACTAGTGAAAACACTTCTTTAATAACTAATAGATGAATTGATATGTAGTAAGATTAAACATTTCTTCCTCCACAGTTGCACTTGAAAAATAAAAACTTAGATAACTCATACAGTAGCTTTAAAAGAAAACATTACAACAACAAAAAAGGCGGCAAGGACGATAAAGGCAAATGCTCTACAGAAAACAAATAGACGACAGAAGACATACTCTACAACACACTTTTCCTAACAACTAAAACTAGAATCGAACTCACAAAAAGCTTCTTTACATGGATGCCAAAAGATCGCGCATTTCTGACACAGATGGGACGCTCTCGCTGGGGTATATCTTGGCTACAAGCTGAGCAAAACTTTCGTACTTGTCCAAGAACTCTTTCTGCAAGAATATGAACGTTGTAGGTAAACTTGCTATACGAAAAATGAACCAACGGAAGATGAGATCAATATTGGAAGGGACCAACAAAAGTCTAGGCACAAAATAAAATTTTAAAGCAACACAAAATGGTGCTATTCTATCCGTTGTCCAGTTCACTGTCCATCTCATCACATAGCGAGGACTGAGTACTTTAATAGTAGAACTCGGACAAGGCAATGGCCAGAGGATTCCCCGGGATTGTCTCACCAGTTTTACAATGTGAGTCACACAAGGCACCGTATAATTTATTCCTCATTGAGATTTTCAAGTGATTACTTTCAATACCCTATTTTGCTAGATATACCTTGCATTTATCCCATAATGAAGGCAGCAACTCCTCTGAGGTTAAGTTCTTCTGCAATTTCTTATACATTGCACTAATGGACTTATCCACCTATAGAAGCAAAGTTTGAACATTTATCAAAGACCCCGAAATGTTTTAAGTGACACATTTTTTAGGTTAAAAAAAATAGAAGATCAAATGAGGACATGATTGACAGACTTACCCCAGATAAACTGGATTTTACCACCTTCCGCAGATCCATCTTTGACAGCCCAAGTTGGAATGGAATCTAAAATATTTAAAACGAAATATATCATTAGCAACTGATGATCTATTGACGCAGCCAAATAAGAAGCATTTGCATTTAAAGTCGACAGAAACCTCAAGCAAGTGCAAATTATGGAACAAAACAATTTTTTGTTACATCAAAAAGAGGAAAGGGAATAACCGAGGTACAAATAAGGGAACCAAATTTTAGCTGAGTGTCAGCTTAAACTTTAAAAATGTCAGCAATGCAAACCTAAAGTTCTATCTGCCAAAGAGAGAATACATCTTTATTCCAGTATTAGTAATTTAATGTCATGTAGTGGCTCAAATTCATATCAACTTAATAACAAAGCAGGAAACTAATTAACAAGGAAAATTAAGATATCCTTAAGAGGAGAGCAGACAGTAAATGCTGTAACTGAGGAGAACTTAGATGGAAAAAAAAGTAACCTAACCTCTTCAGGCGGGATTGTGTACATCAAATCCTCGATTCTTCGAACAAACTGAAAAAGTCGCTCAAATTGCTGTCGGAAGTACAGGTTTTAAGGTATATCATCAGAAAGACTTGGACCTTAAAAAGTACTAGTAACAATAAAAGCAGCAAAGAAACCATTACAAAATAAAGAAGCAAGAAATAGGGAAGCTTACATAGAATATAATCACATTGATATGGCGTGTGCAAGCTTGTTCATAAGATTCACTGGCTTCATGATAGAATTTTGCTAATGTTGGCACCATATTAGCCAGGTCATAAAGACTGCACAACTGCTTCCCATCAGCACTCAAATTCATTTGACAGAATAGAATATGTAATAGAGCTCTGAAAGTATCACTAGAACAATACCTATTCTGAAATGCTGCATAGTTTTCTAAAAGCATAATGTCTTCATATTTTAGGTCTGCTTTAGCAATTTTATCCAAAGTAAGGAACATTGTAGTGACCTGCCAAACAATTTCCAAAACAGCCACGCCACAACATTACATAAGGAGAAAAGTATTATCTGACGACAACAAAGTGTGTATTAAAATCATCACACAGAGAGGAGAAAAGATTTGCCTATGTATTTCCTAATTTTTATTTTGCTTTTCCCCCCTAATTTCCACTTTAGCAATATGTGAGTTTCTATTATAGAATATTAAAAGTGCAAATAATAGAATTATCAACTGCTATACTAACACCAAAAACAAAAAGGAAAACAAAACCAATCAACTATATATTGAGCCATTTTAAAATCTTCAGCAGTCATAATCTCACATATCAATAGCTCTTCACACTCGTTTATTAAGAAACACGATAACAGCACTCACAAACTTAGCGTACGCCTGGTCAACCAAATCCCTTGATTGTCCTTGGATATACTGCTCCATACGGGTTGCAAGCGTGGCAAATCTACAATACCAAATGAAATTGCTGATTGTTCAAGACAAAAAGATCAATTGGCGGTAGTCTGAAGGGAAAATAAGTAGCAAATCAGATTTTGAAGTACAATTACAACAAGAAGCCCAGCAGTTACAGATTTCTTCAATCGAAAAGTTGTTAGAGGAAGCTCACAGCCAAAAGGTAAAAAAGAAGCTAATTAATCATAAAATAGGCAATACAGAGATGGAACAAGTGTGAAAGGATATGAGTGGAAGGAAGAAAGCCAAACTCTCAGATACACTAACTGAAATTTAAGGCGAACTTCAAGTTGGAATATCCAATATAAAACTGGCACTGTCTAACTGAAAAGAAAATTATTGGGTAAATAATAGAAATAAAAATAGCTGAGCAAACTGTAAGTTAAAAAGTTGGAGCAATTGATTTCTTCAAGCAAAAGCAGTAATTTTCTTGGTAGTAACAATTACAGTATGAAAATTGAGAAATCACTCTCTTTTTCCTTCAAACTGGGGGAAAGAATGTTCCCAAGAAACAAACCCATGTCATTCTCAGTGTTAATGAAGGTCAATCCTTCAGTAAAGAAAATAGGATATATCATACAAGCGCCTATATTCTAGCATGTCTAAATGCACTACTAATCAGAATATCAGACCACATAAACTAGGAGGGTAAGATAAAAAAAAAAGACAAAAGCTGTAACTGCAATGCCACTGGTTAAGCACATCCTTCTGACACCAAATTTACATGCTTAGCCAATAACTTTACACCCAAAGTATGTCAAGCACTATTCAGATGCCCCCAAGTTGAACCATTTAACTACATATTTGACAGAAAACCTGTTTTCCACAGTTAAGGCAAGTATACAAAACTAAAGACATATGAAACTCATTCCACCTTGGTATATATGACAAGACTCCCAACTGCCGAACATTTCGCTCATTTCTTTCAATTTGATGACATGCTTCGTCAACAAACTGCAATTGAAGCAAACAGAAAAGAAAATAAACATCATCACTTATGAGTTCCAAAAGCATATATTATGATAAGAACTCACCCGACTAAACTGCGTTGAAATTCTAGATTCCAAGTCATCAAGCAAGATGCGCACAAATCCTGCAGCATCAGCCTTCTGACCTGAAATATAACGTTCTGTTATTCCATGCATTGATATACAGCGCAAAGGATCAATCTTGTATGCCCAATCCACCACCGCATAGAAGTCTTCCTACACGTGAAAAGAAGAGAGTTTTGTCAGATGTTTCGAACAGAATATTGAGACAATAAAACTCTGAAACTACAAAGAAATTTGATCCGCAAAAGAGAAAAAATACCAACAGAGAAAACTAAGCTATAAGAACCATGAAGATAGGTAAAACTTGCTTGCAAACATCCAGCACTAGCACCTCATGACAAGGAAAAATAAAATATGTCCAGAAAGTAATGACTCGCCTTATCAAGGGCTGGTTCTACAGAACACAACTAGCGACGGTGGTGCATCATAAAGATCTGCCAATTTGTACATAACAGCTGAGGATGATAGGCATTTTGATTACAGAAAAGAAAGATTATGAAGCTGTCTGCTGAACAATGCAAAACCAATTTTCTGGTTCTGACTTCTGTCTTAGTAAAAGGTTGAACTCTATTGGGATGAGTACAGTTATAGCAGGAATTCGTTGATAAGTACACATTGTACCAGATAAACAATCAAGCATGAAGGTGTGAACATTGATCATGTAGATAACACATAGCTCACAGAAGAAGAATCACCAAATTTAAAAACACACCTACAATTAAGATCTGTATTTTATTTAGCATCTCAATCTAATACTAACAGAAGCTAGCTTGATTCCCGTAGGGCCATATTTTCACTTCAAGTTAACACATTATTGTGATTATAATCAAATAACAAGGCTATTGTAAGAATGAAATGTGTCATTACTTGTATTCCATCAAGTAAATCATGAAGTGATTCGTTCAGTGCCTCTAGCTCACCAGTGTTTTTACCTGCAAGATATGAAAAGTAGCCTTAATTGACCATAAATCAGGCTAGGCAAGGGAAGGAAAAAGGACAAAGAAGTACCAGCTTTGTTGTCATTCTCATCAATATCCATAATACCCAAATCATCATAGTTTGCATCATCCTCATCATGAGCACTTTTATTGCCATTAGCAAGACCTCCTGGTGGAACGAGTGCAGGAACTTCAAAGCACATAAAGTGAGCAAAGAAAGAACTCTGCATTTAGAAAAAAGAAACAAAAAACTTGATATTGGGAGTGAAAGCAGCATTAACCAATTATGTTTTATGAAGAGCAACATTAACCCATTATATAAATATATTCCAGAGAGAGAAGAAAGTAGAGGAGCACCTCATCCACAAGTAGAGGGATAAATATTGTCAGCATTTTAGCATATGCATCCGAAACTGTTGAAGTGTCTGCACTATTCACATTTTGATTCGAACCCACTGAACCTTCAAGCCATACAGTTGGATTTCTTGACGCCTTTGTACTGGCACGAAGCTCATTTGCGAACTCACGAGCCTGCAAAGTATGGCATACTTAAGGAGTCATTACTTCGAAGTTCAAACTTGAAATGTTCTTTATTAAGAATCTATTGTGATCCCTAAACTTTTTCCATTTTCAACTCTAAAGGTTGGTCCAAGGAGAATCACAAGGCACGGTAAATAAATAGGAATATTTCATCAGAACATAAAAAAATATTTAGGAGGTACACCAATGCAGATAAAAACCAACAGAACAAGCAATGCAAACCACATACATCTATTAGCCAAGATGGCTTACAAGATTCAATTCTCAATACATTCTCCTTTGAGCAATTTCATCTTGCATATCTCAATTTCTCTCATTCCAACTGAGTTTTAATTGTACATAACATTTAGGAATCAACTAGGATGATTTTTTTAAGGGGAATTAGGAATCAACTAGTCTCTACTAACACATAAATATCAGCCCCCATTGATGTATTACTCTCCTCATTATCCCCCTCTTACATTCACTAGTTACTCCCCTCACAAAATAAGGAGAGATCTGCTACTTAATACTCATGAAAATATCCACTAGTTAAGATATGCTTACAAAACCACCTAGAGGTTTAAAGATTGATTATATTTGCAACAAACTAGGAGTTACGGCCTACGATATGTATTTTCCAACTTGAATAGGATTGTTAAGATACTCATGAATATCTTGCAATTAAAGTTGTAGCCTTGTAGGTTAGAAACTAATATGCATATCATTATATCAATGTGGACAAGTAGTCGAGAACTTATCATTGGGATGATATTATGCCTGTAAATATGATTCTTTCCTATTCTAGAACATCTGTAAACATTATTTTAAACCCTAACAACTTGAGGGAAACAATCAGGCTATACATTTAGTAATTCTTCTTTTCTCATTTTTTTTCAAACATCGAAAATTGCAATTTGGAATTGTTTTCAATGTGTGTCTGAGTGGGAGTGTATTGTTTTGCTAAATAGAGCAGGGAGTATGATCCAGTGATTCAGCTTTTTCTTATAGGTTAACTGAAATTTCTATGAGACGGGTAGCAAGGGCATCCAGAGTTACACACAAATTGAAAAAAAAAAAATAGACAGCCATCAATGCATAATGCAAATATGTTTTTCAATCTTTACTAGTTAGGTCACTCTTAGACAATTAACCCTGCTTCACCCTTAATTTCTGCTCACAAGCAGAAAAGAAGAAAACTGTTGGCAAAATGCACACTCTCAGTTCTGGACTTCTGGCTGCCCAATGTGAAGATTTTTTTGGTGTCTGGGCCAGCTAGCCAACTGTAAAGCTTATGACCACAGAACATGCAAGAACATTGTTTGGTCCACCAAGTAATGTCCTTGGTAGCTTTTTTGAGCTATGTCTCTTTTGAGTGAGAAGGCAGCTGATAATTGCTTTATCCTTTTAAGTGTGTTCATAGATCTAAGTATTCTAGAAATTAGCTAGTTCAGTTAATTTCAGGACCTTTTCAAGAGGACTGCAGTCCAGTTGCCTTTAATTCCCTAGGGCTGAGATTTTCTTGCATCAAGTAAACTTGGTTGAAGTCCTCTAGACTGGGGCTCCAAGTTACTTGTACGTGAAGTAATTCTTTTCTCCAAAATTGAGCTCCTAGAGTCCTAATTCATTTTTCCTTGCACATCCAGTTTGTATGTATACTAAAAGTTCTGAGTCTAATTATAAATCAATGTCTTTGAGTGGCTAGTGTTGTGTTGATCCCTTGAAAAGAGTTGGAATTTGGATTCCCCTCTTCCCATCTTTCTCATTTTCTTCTATCTGGTTTTCTACTGCTGCCACTTCATTTTTTATAGAGCTTGTTATTGCTTATAGTGAACAGCCTGCACTTCGGTCTCATTTTTAGAGAAGTCTGCACCTCTTTTACAATATATCCCAGGAACTGTCTAGCTATGAACGTAGGTTACAAGTAGATTAAACTTGTCCAAAAGCAGGTTAACTCGGCAACTCTTTGATGCAAAGGACTGAAGGTTTGAGATGAAGAAAACAGATATTCAAATAGCTTAGAAGTGCACAAATGCTGTAGTGAACATATAACGGAATCTAAGCAACCTACTCAGCAAGAAGAAGGAAGTAAAAGTAGTTATCGAAAGACAATTGGATTGATATCAATAACTTTTCTGACCTCCCGGCGCAAAAGCAAATTAAGGGATGTACAATAAGCTTTTCTTAAGGAGCCCAAGCAATTCTTGTCAAGACTCTGTAAATAAAGGATAGTGAAAAAGACATAAGAAACTACTAAAATAAACAATAGAAAGTTAACCAAGAAATTGAATCAGTCTGACCTTCAGATGTTGCAAAAGACGAGCATATGTCCTGCACTTGTATCTCAGATCAGCATGGTCGGGCCTCTTCAATTGTCCACGCTGTTTAATTCATGTTATCAGCTGTCTATAGAAACTATTTACAAAAGAAAGCTGACAATTGAGTAAAAAGTAGAAGTGCCAGCAGAAGAATACCTGAGAAAAATAACTCTTATCACTTATCATAAAATCCACCAAACTGGTAAAATAGTTTCTCAAGAATTCAGATGCTCTTCGAACAAATGTCGTTTTTAACTTGTCAAGCTCTGCTCGTTTCTCCTTTACCTACAAGAGAGTCAAAAACATTTTCACAAGTAAAAGTGAGTTCACACTTCCACACACAAATTAGAGAAACATCCACTGCCAATGAGAAATAGTTTATCTGAAAGGCAGGATTACTTGGTTTCACTTCAATTGGCAAACAAGCACATAAGATGTAATAATACAATTTCCATACTTATCATCCATATAAAGTAATAGATCATAAGCCCCCAAAGAACCAACAAGAAGTTTATCAATAAGAATTAGCTGGTAGAATAAAATAAGAAAGGACAAGTTCCCTATCCATTTATAAAGCCAAGGCTCATCAAGGCCAGTCACATCACATGATACAACAAGTACCATGTATTTGCAATAATTCGACCATTTTTTATTTCCCCAATCACCTGAGAAACAACAGTTATCCAAGACCTGATCAGGCCAAAAAATGTGCTATGCTTCAATATGTATGCTTACCTATATTAAACTTTTCTACCCTACATGATGAAGCACAACACTGATGAAGAAATAACTAAAAGAATCAGAAAGAAAGAAATGAGCAAGTGGGCATACAGCTCTCATGTTTGCATAGCTAGGATCCAAATTAGGAGCTTCAAGACCACGTAAAGCATTAGTTAACCACTCGCATGCCTCAATGTTTTGAAGCATTCTTGCCTCGTCAAATGAACCACCTGTTAAAGATGCTGCATACTACAAAACAAGAATGATCAAGTAAAAATATTAGTTTATTTCTGAGTGTCCATTAACAAGCTCGGAGACAGACAGATAGAGAGAGAGACCTCAGAGGGTATACGCAATCTCTCAAGAAGCTTATCAAGTTCCTCAATCAATGCTTTGTTGTTAACTGATTGCATTTCCAGCTTGTTGTTGCGGCTCTCTATCTGCATAGAGAAAGGATCAGCAGTGCACTAGCAAAGGAGATACATTCAAATAATAGGCTGTCAACATTCTAATGCAATTCAATATTTGAATTATGTATATGCAATGTAGCAAACTCAGTCTTACAGCAACTAGAACCATGCAAACATAGAACTATCATCCTTTTTCCCTGGAAGCATATATACAGACAGATCAGACTTCTAGATAACCAAATTTGGTTCAAGTCAGGAAAGAAATGATATTATCTAGGTTTATCCATTGGTCATTGCGGTGGAAAGAAAAACTACATATCAGATAATGCTCTAACGATTAGGACACAAAACTAATTTTCACATTCAAGATATTCACAAGTTGATCACATTATAATAGAATACACATACAAAACCAGTGAACTAAGTAAGGCAAAACTTATCTCCTTACTGCTAATACTAGATAATAAACTACAAAGGTGAAATGCCGAGATTCCTACCGATTCAATGTCTTCTCTCATGTGTCTTAGCTTTAAGTTGAAGATGCCCAACCATTCGTCCATATCTTCAACACAGCTGGTGGCTGCTTCAAGCCCCTGCAAGACCTGCAGGACGATTATTTCAGAGGCAGAAACATATTCTCCCCTAATCTGAGAAGGCAATAAAGTGTATATCTAAGAATATGCATATAGAAAATTGGAGGATTTGGAAGAAAAGCTGAATATAAGGGGACAGACAAAGTTTGCTGTTAACTACACTTGGCACAAAAAAAGTTCAACAATGCAAGAGCTGCATAGCCTATTCAAGTAGAAGTCTATTTGGTTGTTCCAAAAACAACATCAGCAGCAGCTCATGGAAGAAAATAAAACCAAAAGCTCCTCTAACACAGGTATCAAAATAATAGGAGCTTTTTACAAAAATATTGACTAGTCACCTCATCAATTAATGGCTCGTTCTCCAAAATGGCATGCACATTCGCAGCTTCCAGAGCTTGAACCTCTCGCTTTAACCGCTCTGAGAATGCCTCAGCTTCACCAATTCCCATTACATAACTGTAGGAAGTTGGAAAAACAAAATCAGGACAAGGAACCAAAATGTTACCCAGATAAATCAGGGACCTGGAAACGAAGAACAACTACAACTAAACTAACTAGTAAACCTCAAACTAGAGAACGGCTAACAAGGGGGAAAAAAGCTAAGGTCTATCACTGCTGCTATCTACTGCTTGGTGTTCTCCAACACAGATAACCAACACGGGTTTTCAATGACTTGTCAGTGTCTTCAGTCCCAGTTTAGGGATCAAACTTGGCATTAAATATCTAATTAAGGTTGAAAACACCCTACCAAAGCATAACGATGAAGAAAACGCCCCTTATACATTTAATTATAGATGATTCTTCATTCCCTACTGCATGGACAGCACAAAGGCATTGGGAGGGCTTTGGATCAACAACTTGCTCACATGACAGAATTTTATCGTGCAGTTTCCAATCAACCTTTTGGATTATGGAATGGAGTAGTTCACCCTTCAACCATCTTAACAACCCACAGCCTTTTTGTTCCATGATAATGGACCCTTTATCCTTCTGGTGACACCTGAAGTTGCAAAATCCTTTTTGACAGTGGTGTCCGAGCCAACTTATGCACACTTCAACTATTCCATTGGGTACCTATTACCTCCCACTAACACGGGTACTAAATAATTTTGTCCACTGAGATTAGGGAAGATAGGAAGAAATCACCCTTGGTTTCTAACTTTGAACCTGAGACCTCATGATTCTCGATCCACTTCATTGACCACTAGGCCACCAATCCATCTACTCTATCAAACATGTCTTATCAGTCATCGTAATCTTCCAGTACAAAATGTTGTGTTTGCAAAGAAGTTATGCAAATAGATAGCCAGCTCGACTTTAAAAAAGCAGACTTTTTAGACTGTGAAGAACAAAGTAATCCAAGGATAAAGCTACTACTTATTGAACTTGATCTTTCAATGATGGAAGAAAAGAGAAGAATAACAGGGTTCCTCTATGGGGACATTAATGTTCTCTTTGACTTCTTTTGCATCTCCAGTTTGTAGCAACCCTTCCCCTTCTTCTTTTTTTTTAGAATTAATGATAATATGAAAGATTTTATAGTTGGAAAAAGCTTTGACCGTGCAACAATGTTTATTGCAAATCTTTTTTTTTTTTGAAATAGGTTACTGTTTCTATTTCTGTGTTACAGTACATGGGTTGTACTGAAACCATATTTACAAAAGCACTCAAAATCTATTGTCCTATCCTTATAATGAGCCTAAGACATCAATGATAGAGCCAGTATCATTAGAGTATATCTGGTTACACCAAAAACATAAAGTTAAAATACAATTCATTTTGACTTGTTCTATACTATTCTCCATATTCTCAAAGACTCTAAGGTTCCTCTCCTTCCATATTGTCCACCATATAGCTGCAGGTACAATTCTCCAGTTGTTTCTGTTTTTAGCGTGAACTCCTGCTTCTTCCCAACTGTGTAATGCTTCTGTGATTTTCTCTGGCATGGACCAAGATATGTTTTTGAGACATAGGAATAATCTCCATAGTTGACTCGTGACATTGCAATGTATAAATAAATGAACCACTGTTTCTGCAGTTTCCCCACAGAAAAAACATCTCGAACATAAATGGATCCCCTTTTTCATCAAGTTATCTTGTGTCAGCACTACTTCCTTAGCCAATAACCAGACAAAGCAAGCTACTTTGTGTGGGATTTTGGCTTTCCAAATGTGTTTCCAAGGCCATCGAAGTATCTGCTGGTTTGGTTGGTTTATCTTCCTGTAGGCTGCATTTACTTGAAAAGTCCCGTTACTATTTCCCTGCCACTGTAGGATGTCTTGTCCAACCTTCAAACCACTAAATTGGTCGATGGTGCTGAAGAATTTTGTTACTCTTGGTATTTCCCAATCATTGAGGTGTCTCCTGAACACAAAATTCCACCCTTGAGGTGTCCACAATTCTGCTATTGTGCTCTGTTGATGTAAAACTAAGTTATAAATATCTAGGAATAATGTCTCCATGTTGCCTGTTTTATGCCAATCATCCTTCCAGAAGACAGTTTTAACACCATCTGCCACTTTCACAATGGAATAAACTTTGAATTCATTCCATAAAATTCTGATAGATTTCCATAAGCTAACACCATAAGGAGTAGTGACCTCCTTTGTCATCCAATTATCATTCTCCTCATATTTAGCTTTAATGACTCTAACCCATAGACTTCGATTTTTGTTTGAATATTTCCATAGCCATCTCATTATTAAAGCTTTACTCTGATTCTTCAGATTTTATCTTTCCATTTTTCTTGAATTGCTTCTTTCTTTTTCTTTTTGTAAATCACAATGACTTATTCTTTTTCACATGTGCATCTCCTTTTGCTACCTTTGCCTATGATATTGTTTATTTCACTTCTGTTATCTCTTGTTGTCAAGGATCTTTTTGCTTCTTGGTGTTTTCTGCTTCTTCTATTATCCAACTCTTGATTTAAGCTAATTGTTCAGTAAATTAACTTGATTGAAACTACTTATCAGTACAGTTGCAACAGCAATTAACCAAGAAATTCTAAGCTGGTAAAATTTTAATTCTTTTTTTTTGGTTGACTTATTGAAACTGAAAATCAACTTCGCAATTGAAGTTATCTTAACCTTTATGAAAATTTGTTTAAAATTACTTTTTTACTCCCTTTGTTGTATTTCATGTGTCTTAGTTTGACTGAACACAAGGTTAATGTACCAAAATGTTCTTTGAATCTTGTGGTCCTAAACTAAAGATTTGTATAATGTACCAAAATGCTCTTTGAATCTTGTGGTCCTAAACATGCTATGTGGAATGTTTGAATTAAGGAATTGAGAAAATGGCCAAATGACCCCCCAATCTATTACCGGATTTCCAACTACACACTTATATTTCACGGGGATCCTATTACCCCCTGAGCTATTTTAAAGTGGAATTATTTCCTCCCTGAAATGTCATATGTCATTACCAGGCATGTGTCTTGTGGTGAAATACATGCACTTGACACGTGTATCTCACCATTTAATAAATGTTTTTATAAAAAAAAGTACTCCTCCTTCCTCTTCCTTTCTTCCCCAATCATTTTTTCAACCCTAACTATAATAAACACCATTTTTTACCTCAATAAATTTCTATATCTCTAACAATTTATAAAAAAACGAAAATTCAGCTCACCTTTTCTCTTCCCCATTCTTTATTCTTTCTCCTTCTAAAATTTTCATGATTAATTTATAATTTGAGCTTTTGATTTTGATTCTTCATGGGTTTTAGGAGAACGTGTAGGATCCTTCTTTAAAAATGTAGAAGAAATTGTTTTGTTTTAGTTTCTTTTAATAAGTTTGAAGATATTTTACTTCACTTTGATTTTGTTACTCTTGAGTCCATGACTTCAAAAAAATTAATTAATGGGTATATTTTTTAAAAAAATAAATTTAATTTGTTAGATTTCTAAATAAGTCTATTGAAAAATTATTTATTCATAAAATGCATTAGTTGTTGATAATTTTTATATCAAACATCTATTGAAAAAGCTTCAACAAGGATAATGGTGAAAATGTATAGTTGTATAGATAAATAAGAAGAAAGAAAGAGAAAGAAAAAAAGAAAATTAGAAAAAAAAAACAAAAAGTAAAAAAAAAATTAGGCAACTCACTCTCTCAAAGAGAGTGAATGTCACTCTCTATGCCAACTCAACACTTAAGGGGTTATTTATTCCATTTTAAAGTAGTTTAGGGGGGTAATAGGACTCCCGCGAAGAATAGGTGTGTAGGTGGAAATCCGGTAATAGGTTGGGAGGTCATTTGGCCATTTTCTCTTAAGGAATTATTAAATATAGGAAGGGGCGTTCTTTTTAGACATACTAAAAAGGAAAATAAGACAACATTTTAATAAGGAAAATTAAGACACATAAATTGGAACAAAGGATATAATGTTGTTGAATTCTAGTAGGGATTAACATATTCATCAGTATTTAATGGATAATCATTATCTAATGGATACTATAATGTCAAATTTTCATGTTATACGTACTAGTATATTTTTAGGTAATATCTGGATTTGGTTTTAAGTTTTTTCTTCTTTTTTTGGGGGAACAAAGAAATTTGTATTTTCTTTAAGTTGCGCACTTTCAATTGAAGAGGCGCACCCTTAGCTTCTACATTATTGCTTAAGCCTCCTAAAAACCTTCTTTTTATGCTTTTCACTCTCTAAAACACTTCTTATACCCGAGTCCGCGTGAAATAGGCCATTCTTACAGTTGTTAACAGTCCTAAAGCACCTAATCATTACTGTAGGAGACATACTAGCCATTATTATGCAATTGCTCTCACAATTGTGCCAAGGGATGGTTTGTTAATGCAGACATAAGCAGCTTACATTTCGAGCCAAAGATGAGATAATCAAATGTCAAAACAAGAGAGGCAAAGAGGTCACATACGTGCCTAAAAGAGCCTCCATGTCTTCTTCCTCTGCTTGAGACACAAGTTCCCTTTCAACAGTTACTTTCATCTCACGTTCTTCCACAGCAGCACTGACAGGCCCATCTTGGAGATTAGTATGTTGTTTGGTAAATGTTGGAGTATTTTCCTACAAATAGATTTGTATAGATTAGAATTGCATAAAGCACCAAGGTCCATTTTAGTTCCTATAGGGTTGGGTGCTGGGGATCTACATTCATATACCCTCCAAAGAAACATATAAAAGCAACTAGTTGCAAACGAATATGTATTCCAAATTAATGAAAGCATGTGTTCACTGTGGATGTAAGCAGTGTGTATAACGTCTTCTCAAAGGGCCTTTTTTTCCCTGAAAAGTTATGCTCTTCCAAGGCTTTTTCTTGTTTTTGGTGCAACCATGAGGTCCCTTTCATAATAGATGATTGGTATCTTCTGTAGAGAACCAAAGTTTTGTGTAGGTTCTCTACTTTTTGTTATATGTGTGAGTATTCCCATATTAATTAAAAGGAATTTGGTACACAGCTTGTATTTGGAAGTATTTCCATATTAATAAAATTATTGTTTGTCCACACACAAAAGATAGACCATATCCTTTTCAAAGACAATTTAACTAAACAAAAAAGGAGATGTAGGTGAACAATTTAATTCTGATGACTGTTTGCATTATCATCATGATGATGATAATGCAAGCTCATGGGCAGAAAAATTCATCTTGAATAAGAAACAGAATGAAGCAACACTTTACAGAGACGGGGCCTACAGATGTGCTGTTAAGAGGTTCAAAGCAAGTTGCAGAACTATTATATGCACCTTTGCCCAAAGAGCCATCTCCACCACATCAATGCCAACAACCTTGGGGAGACGACCCAAAACATCTTTACAGATGTTTAAAATCCAAAGCAATACACGGTTCCTACAACAATCAAGGAAAAAGTTCATCGGCAAAAGGAAGAAAAATCACGTTGGCATAAGAATTCAGATAAATAGACATAATTTTTTTGAAACAAACCTATCATCAACATTACGCATTGTCCACTGAGGAGGAGCGACACTTTGACTTCTGAGATTATCAAATCCCTACATGAAAAAATCCTTCAGAATAAGTTCTAAATATCTTTATTATAGGAGTAAGGACAATATAGTACTTCAGTGAAATTACCAGCATAAATGTACAACCACTTGGATCATTAGTTACAACCTCCACCTTCGACAGATGCTTAAGCTTGTATAATTTTGCAGGCTACATGTGAGAGCATAACACAATTGTTAGCGAAAACATGACATTTCGACCCAATTTGCTTTAAATGGAACTCGCTAGTCTAATATGTTGATTTTGGGAGATCCGATTTGGTTCTTTCTAATGTTTTAATATGTGAATGCACTAGGCAAGGTACTCAAACAATGTTCAGAAAGCAAATTGCTCAAGGTGCCAAGTAGCTACTTCTCAAAATTTCTTGTGACTAATTATATATGTTTACAGTAAAGAAAAGGGTGGAGGAACAGGAGTAAAACAAGATGGAAGGGAAAATTTAGCTAATCATCTGCTTCAAATTAGGGTGACTATTCTTAACAAGACTGAGTTACCCTTCCCCAATTAGTAGTAACTTCAAAGATAAAACAAGGAACTGATTGCCTGAAAGCAAAGCATCAGGAGTAATGTTCAACCTTGGCTGCCACCAAGCACCTTGGTTATGCTTCAGTTTTGCCTTCCATAAGATTGGCTATATCTAGGACAATTCAGTAACATAAATACTTCTGACCAGTATTATATATCATTATAGCTTCATCATGCACATTATAAAGGTTGAGTAAAGAAACTGTCATGTTAAATTATGTGGCATTTTCATAACAATGAAGTCATAGCTTCATTTTTTGTCCTTTTGATAACCCATAATGAAGTCAGAGGTTCATATTCACGTGGGTGGAACACTATTATCTGGTTATAAGTTCTAAGATTAGTGTCTGAACAGAAGGAAAAAAAATTAGTAAAAGAGAATAAATCAGAAGTATTTACCTCAAGAACTCCTCCAGTGGAATATTTTAACACATGGAGAAAAGCTTTAGTTCGTTGACCTTTTGCTTTTGCTGCACAAACCACGCATCATGATAGAGGGAACAACCAGAATGACCAACACTGATCGACAATTTTAAAAGAAAAGGAAAAACTGAAAGTACATACAACCCCATTCCATTTTGTGAGGTGAACATTATCTGTTAAAATGGCACAATCATTAGAGGACTTCACTGACAATATTAACGTCAAAAATCTTGGATGAAGGAAGAGCTTCTCACTCAATTTGGCCGTTACTCAAGAATTGAAGGTGTTAGTCAAAATAAGATCATCTTTCATCAACAACCTCTTACCCAAAAAGAGTAATTAAACTAAATAAAACTTCACACTAAATTCCCTTAGTTGTAAAGTGATCATTTCTTTCAAATTGTTTGGAATGGGCGGACAGAATGTGGAAGAGATACAATTCCTCCTTTCGCCCAACTCCTGAAAATATTTGGGTACCCAATGGCCAATTCTTCCTTCTTTTTTTCCTTTTTTGGGATTCCACTCCACTGATTGTTCCACTTTCTGTACCCATCAAATATAGCGTAAGATTTTCCCTCCTCTTTTGGTCAATGTGGTACCTACCAACCAGTACTCTGGCCCATAGTAAAAATCCATGGCATGGTTCCATTTATTGATAAAAAATTTACTAACAACTCATTTTTTCCTTAATCCTTCTTGTTTTTCAAAAGGTGCTGTTTGGGCCAACTTTCCTGAGAATTAGTTTGGATTTATGCTGGGGCAATCTATTACAGAAGTGATCCACCTTGTGAGGAGACTGGTGGAGCAGTATAAAGAGAGGAAGAGGGACTTACATATGGTGTTCATTGATCTAGAGAAGGCTTATGACAAAGTCCTAAGGAGATTCTATGGAGATGCTTGGAGGCTAGAGGTGTACATGTGGCTTACACTAGGGCAATTAAGGACATGTACAACAGTACAATGGAACCAATACCAAGGTGAGGACAATGGGGAGGAGACTCGAAGGCCGAAGCACTTCCCATTCAAGATGGAGTTGCATCAGGAATTGTCTCTTAGCCCGTTTCTATTGGCTTTGGTGATGGATGACTTGATGTGGAACATCCAAGGTGTCATGGTGTATGTTATTCGCCGATGAAATAGTACTGATTGACAAGACTCAACGGAATTAATGCAAGGATGGAGGTTTAGACAAACCCTGGAGTCAAAAGGGTTCAGGCAGAGAAGGACCTAGACTAAACACTTTGAGTGAAAGTTCAAACTTCAGAGATGCATGCACCACATGAAGTTGACGTGAAAGTGAGACTTGATACTCAGGTCATCCCCAAGAGAGGATGTTTCAAGTAGCTTGGGTCTTCCATTCAAGGTAATGGGGAGATCAATGACGATGTCACACATCATAGTGGTATGGGATGGGCAAAATGGAGGCTCGCCTTCGGGGTCTTGTGTGATAAGAAGGTACCATCAAAAATTAAAGGTAAGTTCTACAGAGTGATAGTAAGACCGACTATGTTGTATCGGGTGGAGTGTAGGTCAGTTAAGAACTTTCATGTTCTGAAAAAAGTTGTGTAAATAAAGATGTTGAGGTGGATGCGTGGACATACTAGAAGAGATATGATTAAAAATGAAGATATCTAGCACCAACTATAAGCTCATATTGGCATCACTAGTTAGCTTACTCTTACCAGAATGGCATATGTTACTTCCATAAATGGCGCTTTGTACTCACACTTTGCTCAATATTTTTTGGCAAAGACAAATTAGTACAACAATAGTTGATCTTTTCCTTTTCCATTAATATGGTAAACCCTCCAACCAAAAGCAAAATAGTTGCTTTTCCCACAAGAAATGAGCTCAACAAGGTCTCCTCCTTATTTTTATTTCATCTTTTTTTTTCTAATATGGTAAAAAACCCACCTCCCAAATCCTCCTACCCAAGTGCCAAAAAGGGGACTTTGCTCTCTTGGTAGCTAGAAATCCTAACCTCACAGGTTTCTCCTTTCTTTTTTGTTCTTACTTCTCCTTATCCCCCCCCCCCCCTCCAAGCCCCCTACATAGGAGCTACACAGTCTTTTCAACGTTTCTCTCTCGGTAATTAAAACACCAAAGCTCATTCCTTTTTCCTTTTCTTTTTCAATTAAAAACCGAACTAACCCAAAACCGCCTAGCAGGAGTCAAAAGGATCTTTCCAGACTTTTGTTTCCTCAGTGACTCAAACTCCGCAACCTCACAATTACTCTTTCCCTTCCTCTGAAATAATTCACCATCACAACAAGTCTAACTTCCCTAAGATACCTAATGCCCCTTTCTCTATATGGTTCCAAATTTATCAGATATCCCTAAAGACACCTAAGCTAGCTATAAGGTCTTACTAAACTCATTTCCAGCTCTAGAAGCAACTCAACAAACTCAATTCCATCAAATTATAACAGATCACACAGTAACACAAGTATAAACAACACAATCACCCAACTTTACTTTCCTCTACATTTCATTAAATAACTAAAAATAAACTATCTATTTAAAACTAAATCTACACAAATAACATAGATTACATACTTGAAATGGCGATAACTCTGGGTTTAGCAGTATGACTACGACCCAATTTTCCAGTTTTCCCCCAGATCCCACGACTCTTAGCAACTCTGATTGACATCACGATCTTCTGCTTAGTACTTTCTAACGCCGCCTCACAAGCTCTCCTCAACTCCTCATCATCCGCACTCGATTTCGCCATTTTTGCTCTTCTCTGAAGTTGAATTTCAGATTTCCTATTTTACTTGTTAGAACAGTTTACAGCTTAGAAAAGTTGTATAGGCTGTCTTTTCCTCCCTTTTTCTAAGGAAATGTAAAAATACTATATGTAATAATATTAGTCCAACCTTTTCTTATTCAACTTTTTTCTTGGAAAAGTCGATTTGAGTCAAATTTAAACGGGTGAAATTTAATTTAGTTTTTTTAATGTTATAATGTTCGAGTTAGTTTGTAGGTATAATAGGTACCATTGTTCATCAAGATTTAAATAAATGGAAAGCGATTATCAACTTAGTATTTTTGTTTTTGTTGATGTTTTAGATTTTTGTGTATTGCTAATTAAATTAATTGTTTATTTAAACTATTCTTTGTATCTCTTTTTAAATGTTTTTACTTTGATGAATACCGAATAATCAGAATTATAATAAACTTTTAAAAAATGAGTAATGGATAACATATTGTTTCTATAAAATATCTAACATTTTAAAACGTTTATAACTTATCAAGATGACAAATATCTGAAACTGATGGAGTATTTTATTGTCGAAAACGATTAGATTATATTTAGACTGATAAAAAATGTCATTGAATATAAATTATAATGCAATATATAAAAAAAAATTGGATCATGGGTATAGTCCAATCCACATAATTAAGAAAATAATCTCTAATTTGATGAATCAATAAGAAATTATTTTGTTATATAATAAAATAAAATTATAGCTTACAAAAAAAATCAGGGTAATTGTCCAATATTTTCTTTTTTTATTTATTTAAATTTTTTTGTTGGTGGTGGTGTCATTCTTGAACTACTTGTGATATGTAGATGTAATTAAATGTGTTAAATATGCCTATTAAATCTTCATACAAGTATTTTCTATAACAACATTTTACTATAATGATCAAATTTGTTTGGAACTAATTTTTCATTTCTCCGATGATTTGCTATAATAATTTTTAAAAATTAAAGTAAATGACATCGTTATAAAGAGGACGATACTAAATTTCTCTTTATTTTTTTGTACTCACTCATTTCATAGGAATGCTTGTGCAATAGCTTCTTATTTAAAAGACATATTTAATAAGAGTACTTTCTTTTGTTAATCTTAATGACTATTTATATTCTTTCTGTAACCTGGATGTTTTAATTTATGAAACCCAATCTGTATATTCATTTGTCATTTTGGAGGGTCGTGTTTTATATATGATGTGATTATCACAAGTTTATATTCAGTTTTTCATTAAGAAGGGTATCATCCATCTATTTTGTTTTCTCTAATTTTCACATATTTTTAAAATTTCGTGTTCAATCAAACTACATCACATATGTTGAAACCAAGGGAGTACAAGCCTTGTTCATTTTAATTCAACGGTTATTTAGTTATCAAGGTAATAGTGTTGTGACCTAAATTGCGTGGACTCTTAACTTTCAATGCCGCAAACCAATGTCAAATTCTCCAAAAATACACTACTTTTGAAGAATCCAACACACGCCTGTTGACATTTTTAAAGAGTTTTGAGCGACATAGGTGGTGACTTCTAATGACAAAATAATGTCATGTGAGTGTAATGCAAAACTATAATTGTGTTGCCATTTGTAACAAAATTATATGAACTACAAAATCACTACACCTGAATTCCAAGCAAGTTGAAATTAGCCACATATACCCTCACGGTCCATGTTGCTCCATTTAAGCCGAACTCATAGCAACATAACCAATGTAATCCCAAGTATGAGGGGAGTAAAATGTACATAGACCTTACCCCTACCATTGTGGCGTAGAGAGGTTGTTTCCACTGCATGACTACCTATTACATATTATGCATAACCACAACTTTATGCAGAGTATGTGAAGAGGGTGATGAAGCAAGATAGACAGGACACTACATTTCTTCTCAACAGCTGCTGCCATATTGAAGGATGAACCTCACAAAAGTGAACCAAATCCAAATGCTAAAATTTTCTAAATTGCTCAATGCTGCATGGTGTATCAAGTTTGAACCATTTTGTCACATTATTCTTCAGTCAGATATTAGTATATGTAACCAAACGAAAACCAACATGCACACATTGTCTTCAACTCGAACTATATGTAGTTAAGAATCTAGACTAAATTCATATGAAGTGTCGCAAAAGAATATTAGATGTTGTAGTAATAGAACCCTCTAGCATAAAATTCTAGATCAGCTCATGAGAAAAGGAATGTGCATCGTTTTCCTGCCTCTGATTGAGAGTGCTCACATGCCTAGTGTTGGTGGAATGTTAATTAGGAAGTTCTGATGCTTTAGCCACTCCCTCGGATCTATAATGAGCTATGGTATGAGTCGCCTGCTGTAGAGGAAGCAGTAAATCGTTGTCAATGCAATCGTACCTGCAAAAAGAAAAAATTCAGGAATGAAGCCTCACTTGGTAGACACATTAGCAATATCCGGATCAGTTTGTTTCTACAGAATATAAGTAAAGATCACTGTTTTGCCTCTCTTATGATTCTAACCAAAGGGCATTTTGGTTGATACTCGTTTAGAAAAAAATGAGTTTAGTTTCCCTTGAAACTAAAGTGTTATATAAAGGACCTTCTGGAGAGTTCCCTATGATTCCCTGCCATTTAGCATAGAATAAAAATGTTCCCCTAACTAAGTTCAGTTCCAAAGATTTGTACCCCGCGTAAACTTCTTTAGCATGTCAATGTACTTGAAGAACCTAACGCAAATATAACTAATGCATAGCTAGTTTATTAGATGTGATGCACACTTACAACTCTTTGCAGAGGTTGTCTGTTAGTACAGAGAGAGTGATGATCTTCATTCTAGTCTCCAAAAGTTTATCTTCAGGATGGTCAGCAAATGGTTCTTCCAAGAACATTGAAAGTCTTTCAACATTTATTTCAAGTTGCTGCTGCAGGTTTTCAAAAAGGTTCTTCTTTATTTCCCTTTCCTTTGGTGTCATTTCATCCTTGAACAGCGCCTGACCAAAAACGTAAAATGAAACTGGATAGGAACAGGAGAGAATTCGCCTTAATTGAAGGAGTCTATTACATCCATTTTCTACCCAGCTGAAGTCCTTTGATTGCAATTCCCCCGCTTCAAGTTTCAACACTTCAAAATTTAGTTTTTGCTTCATGTTTGCTTCAGCCTCCAACGAATCACGATGAACCATATAGCGCTCATAATAATGAGTATAGCGCAAGAGATCATTTCTGACAGTCGTCGTCTTTTCCTCTTCCCCTTCCTTATAACTGCCACAAGTGTGACCTCGAATGCTACTCCATGTGTGTTCTAAACCAGTAGCTCCACCACACAACCAACTACAAAGTATAAAATAAAATTTGCATACACAAATATAAGCGACGGAGAAAGAGAAAGTACTGGTATAATTTGGCTTGGCCAACATTCTTTCAATGAATTAACTAACATGAGCGAGGAAAAAAAGGAGAAACTACTATGCCATACTTTGAGCTTGTAGGTAAGAAAAAGGAGAAATGTGTATTTTAACTGTTACCCTACACTCAAAGAATAACTAGCTACATCTCTAGCAAGGGATGGATAACCTTAGGATCTTAACTAACCTTGAAAATGCTCTTTTTTAACTCTCTTCCTGCTCTCCACAATTGAGCTCATACTTCCTCTTCCTTTGCCCGCTTATACTACAACCACAAATATTGTTGTTTCTCTTTGTCCTTCTAATTCTTGGTCAAGTTTTCATTCTTGGAATCAGGACAGATTATCCGTTTTATCTGTTCATCAACTCTCTTAGCATTTCCTCTCCTTTCAACCTCATTTTTTTTTTATTTTACAGTTTCCTGCTTTAAAAGTCATCAATCTCTACTCCTTGGAAGTCCTTGTTTGCATCATATGCAATTCATGCATCACAAGACTAATTACATCCCACCCCCACCCCAAACAAAAACCCCCAAAAAACTCCCGGGAGACCAAAAAAAGAGAAGGAACAGAATAAATAGTTAAAAGACTTCAACAGAAAAATATATATCAAAATGAAAATGGTATAGCAAAGAAATGGAATAAGAATAGAACATATAAATCAGCAAATTGGAAGAACATAAGACTGCAGACATGGATAAAGTCTCACCAAAACGGCTGTCCACATCTACATCTTACAAGGTTGCATCCCCCATTCTTCTCCACGGCATTATGACATTTTGGGCAATGTTTGGCATTTTCACTTATCCACGTTACTGTCTTACCATCGTTCTTGCACTTCTTCATCCAAAGTTTCCACATCAGACATGAACAAGGAGAGTGCGCTTCTGATAAACAATTAAAACAGAACTGTACACCACATGCACATTCAACCTCACAGCAGTATTCATCATCCTCAATACGAATTGCATTTCCACAATGAGGAACACTAGGGCACCATTTAACCCTCTTGTTATCATCAATATATGACTCTAACAGAAAACGATCAAATTTCTCTGCCAAAGCAGGATCTTTTGCAGTGACGAGATCCCTAATCTTTCCTTCATCACAGATCACATTGCACTTTTGGGCCATGCAAGTTACTTGTTTACTCTGACCCTCATTTATTTTTACAATGAAATGAGTTGTCCAACCTACATAGAACAATTATTGGCAACTTTTAGCCTACACCATCATTTGTTCGAGTGACCAGAAAAGAGAAAGCACCAACAATAAATACAATAAGTGAATCTAGCTCATCAACTTTTCAAGATGCACTAATCACTTTCACATTAAAGAAAATCAACGAAGCCATAGGTTTGCTATAGAAACAGATTCTAAATGCTATTGATGCCATTAAAGATGCAGTGAAATCATCAGTATTTCGAAGTTAGGTAGTTACGAAAAGGATCCCAACAGCTTTCCCACTTATGTGGGCATACAAACAGAGATTTCAAATGTTGGGACAACAAACTCCAGATCATGTGTCATAAGTGACGTGTCACTAGTATAATGATTAAATAGGGACAAGAGATAAGAGAAACACTATATTCGTACAGAGATAGAGGCTCAGGGAAGGGATGGGAGATGCTCACATTCATTGCAAAATATATGGTTGCAGTCCATTACAGTAGTCTTCTCAACAGGGACATCTTCGAAGCAAATTTGACATGTCACTTCAGATGTCGACAGAGTGGAAGTATGTTCATCTTTCCCTTCCAGTGTCACACCCGCTTCAGCATATAACTTCTCTGTCCCTCTCTCAACAAGAACCGCAAAGACCTTGTCAACTTCCCATCGGTAATGAATAAGCAAGCTTCGAGCATGATGTTCCTTCAGAGATAGCAAGTCCATCACTCTTTGCAAGTCTTCTTTCTGCAAGTTAAATACCAATGTTACACATGTCAGTCATTAAATTAACATTTATCCATATGGAAAAGTCGAAACTTTTGGTTTGGGAAAAGTTGCTCACCTGTGCAGCTAAAAGAGTCTCTTTCCTGATTACCTGCAAAACCCAATAGTAGGCATGAAGAATTCAAGAAATTCATAAATCATAAAAATGAAAACAGCAGAAAACTTCACAATTCAGGGTGATTTTTTGCTTCCTATGTGTTCCCTGATAAGTAATTATATATCCTGTACCGTGCCTCATGCACTCACTTGGCACACATTATTCATTGCTTCACAGGACTTAGAAAATCAAAAAGTTAGGCTGCTAGACAGAAGCTAATCTCATTTAAAGAATTTCTAGCATAATATCATATATTTTAAAATCATTAAAACTCCTCTGTTTTTGTTAGGGAAAACACCATCCAGTATACAACAACATACCCACCATAGTCCCACAAAGTGAGGTCTGGGGAGGGTAGATTGTACGCAAACCTTACCTTTACCTTAGAGGTAGAGAGGTTATTTCCTACAGACCCTCAGCTCAAGAAAAAACAGTCCAAACAAGTCCAAAAGAAACAACGGAGGTGAAAGTATAACAAAGCATACTTACGAGAAACAGCAGAAAACAACAGAAATCGAAGGCAAGAAACTACATGAGCAAACTACGACTACTAGTATGGACGGATAGCGAGACAACCCACTACACCATCCAGTGTCTTTTCCCATATTTAATCACTGGAAATGTATAAGAACTACTAGTACCAATTTTTCAACTGAAACAGTATTAAACAGCCATTCTAGAGTTCTGATGTACTAGAAACTGAACATTCTGATACAGAGCATATATTGTGTGTGTGAAAGAAGCTACAACCAAAACCAGAAGAAAATATGAAGGAAAACCTAATCAAGTCTCAAAAGGGACATTCATTAGGCACCGCCTTTTTTCGAAAACAATAAAATTAAACACTTTGCATGAAAAGGGTTACAGGGTCATTCAAGATTTAAACTTTATAAATTAATTTCTCGAAATCCTTAATTGGGCTTCAATATATAAAGCTGCTGAATTCGTTTGAACCGTAAATTTTACTTTTATCATACTACCTTGCATGAAGGACCCTTTTCGGAGATTCCATTTCTCTCTTGTTCAATTTCGGTAAACCCATCAAGAAATTCACCATCATCATCATCGTCGTCGTCGTCGTCATTATTATACTGTTGATTGTCCCATTCATCATCATCGCTGCTCACATAGATATAGTCCTCCATAATATTTCACATACACTGAAACCCCACAGAGAAAAACGGAAAACCAAAAATGTTAGCAATTTTACGCTTTGATGATCCCTAGGTTTGTTTGTCGATTCTTGAAATTCCTTCGTGGGGAAGGAAGATTTTTGGATTTTTTTGGTGTTTTGATCGGAGTGAAATTCTGTCTAACATTGGTTCACTGTACTGTGTAAACTCCTATGCAGCTTGGTCAACAATAGTCCACCCTCTTTTTGGACTGTGATAGGAAGGTTGAGATTTGACGTTTCGAGTTTGAGCCTCGGAAGAAATTGTGACGGAGGCACCAACATTTGAAATAGGTTTACAATGTGTGAATTTAGATTAATCAAGTTTTGAGTTCGAGTTTTGGAGAAAATTATTATGGAGATATTGTACCTCATAGCAAACTGTTGTTACTTCACCTCTCTCCTGGTGAATCTTGCTTGCCACTCTCGTTCTCTCCCTCGCCTCTCTCGTTTTTTATACAAACGCAAGTGTATAAAGTGCGTTTGTGTTTGTATAAAGCGAGAGAAAATTGCATATTTACATATATTTTCGTTCCCCTCTCCTAGATCTCGCTCTCTCACTTTATACAAAAAACGCAAATTGTATAAAATGTATTTGTGTTTGTATAAAGCGAGAGAAAAATGTATATATACATATATTTTCATTCCCCTCTCCCAGATCTCGCTCGCCACTCTCCCAGATCTCACTCTCTCACTCGCCTCTCTCACTTTATACAAAAACGTAAATGTATAAAATGCGTGAAAATTGTATATATACATATATTTTCGTTTCTCTCTCTCCCCTCTCCCAGATCTCGCTCGCTCACTCGCCTCTCTCACTTTATACAATTGATCTTTTTGTATATGTATACCAAAGCAAATTATACAACTGCTTTCTTTTGTATATGTATAGCGAAATATACATATTTATGTTTGCTATGAAGCGCAATTATGCAAACTTTGTTATAACATACAAATATGAATTTTGTGTTTGCTATAATGTGAAAGTTGCTCAAAAAATATAATGTCGGATCATGTAATGCACGAATTTGAATTAGTAGAATTCCAACACGAATATAAAATAGTACTATTAAATATTGTATGAAAAATTAAATCTTTTAATGAAGTTTCATTTGGTATATTATATTGTTAGGTTAAATTAGATCAAAAATATTTTTAATATGGTATAATATTGTATGTTTTAGAATATTATTTTTAATATGGTATAAATCGAGTAAACTAGAATACTACAATAGTCTTGAAACATTATCTTTCTTGCACAAAAAAAAATTCGATAATCCTCTGGAAGAAAAAAAATGTTATTATACTTCATGAATTACATCATAATTAAAATCTATTTTAAAACGCTATAGATAAATTAGAATCTATAATAAATCTGCTAACAAATAAATCAAATCTACTTAAACACAAATTAAATATGCTTTACATGAGAACTGATAGCACAATTACAACCCGTTTTTTTTAATGAAAAATATAAATATTTAAATTTATTCAATAAAAGTTAATATAATATGTACATATAATTTATCTAATTAATTTTTTAAACAAAATTAAATTATTTATAAAAATTAAAAATTAAATCCAAAAAATATAATTTATTTAATTAATTACATTCAATTTTTCGATTTGAATCGATATTTTAACCACCAAATAAAAAACACAACAATTCTACTTGGTGGGCAAGGAAAGAGAATAATGTGTGGTCATATAATTTGGACAAGTCATGTGAGCATGTGCCTATTGTATTTGCACATGAAGATAATGTGTATAAAATTCAATCCTTGCTCACCAAGGATGTAATATTTGGTGGAAGTTTCTTGCCAAATTTAGAAGCCTAAGTCATTAAATTAAAACTAGCCAACAAATATATAATTTAAACGTGTATAGAATTGAACAAGTAAATATTTTATTCAATATCTTACGTGACAATTTGTATAGATTACCCATGAGGCCTCATAATAAGATCGAAATCTATGGAGTCCGGACCCTAAACAAAAGAGCAAGCAAATTATGAATCAAATCAAAGGGGCAAAGGCGCATAAACTCGCCTTTACCCTCGTCCCTTAAGGGCCGATTGGCTAACCTGAAGTGTAAGACGCATGGGCTCTTGTACGCGCCCATGGTGGTCCCACGCCTTTCACTTCCATTCCATTCAAATATTACCTCAATTTTTGTTTTCTCCACTCTTAAACTTGATTATTTCGCTTTTAAATTTGTAAAAAATTAAATAAATAGACACATTGCATCCTCGATTTGTTTTGGATTATAAATGGAGGAGTTGTATCTAATTTGAAAACTACACCAAATAGTGAGAAGCAATATTCCATTCCTTCAAATTCAAACAAACATATATGGCGGAGAGGGATAGAAGAAGCAAATCCATGGAAGTGAGAAGGAGAAAGAGAACCAGTAGCGAAGAACATTCATATGCTGTTGCTGCTGCTTCTCCGTGGGACATTGTGGCTCCTTCTCCAATTCCAATTAGGGCATCGGTAAGATCTTCAACTTCTAAGTATCCTGCAAAAAATTACAATTTTAGTACTAAAAGAAATTGTATCTCTGAAATAGGTAGTACAAATGATTATTCACGAACTAGAAAAAAATTCCTAGGCAAAAACTGGGAGGATCATCAGCTTTTGAGATCTGGAGCTGTTAGAGGTAACAAGGTGCAGACGGAGTTTGATGATGATGAAGAGGAACGGAAGGTGATTCTTCATGTTCATGATATAAAGCTGCCTCCATTTTTGGATGGGAGAGTTATTTTCACTGAGCAAGCTGAGCCGATATTGCCAATTAAGGATGCAATGTCCGATATGGCACTAATTTCACGAAAAGGGTCAGCTCTTGTTCGGGAAATACACGAAAAACAAAAGAGGGATAAGTCTCGTCAAAGATTTTTGGAGCTAGCTGGGTCAAAACTTGGAGATATTCTTGGTGTGGAGAAGAGTGTTGATGAGATTGATGCAGATATTGTTGTAGTGGGTGAGGATGGTGAGGTTGATTTTAAGGGAAAAGCCAGATTCTCGCAGCACTTAGCTGTCAGTGCGTTCACAAAATCAAAAACAATTTCACAGCAACGACAGAATTTGCCCATATTCTCTGTGCGAGATGAGTTATTGCAGGTGGTTCGTGAAAATCAGGTGGTGATTATTATTGGAGAAACTGGTTCTGGAAAAACAACACAGCTAACTCAATACCTGTATGAATATGGCTATACAGTTAATGGGATCATAGGTTGCACCCAACCTAGACGTGTGGCAGCGATGAGTGTTGCCCAAAGAGTTAGTGGGGAAATGGAAACTGAGCTCGGGGATAAAGTTGGATATGCTATTCGTTTTGAAGATGCCACTGGGCCAAGTACTGTTATCAAGTACATGACCGATGGTGTGCTCTTAAGGGAAACTCTTAAGGATCCCGTTCTTGAGAAATATAGTATAATTTTAATGGATGAAGCCCATGAGAGATCACTTGACACTGATGTCCTTTTTGGCATTCTCAAGAAAGTTGTGGCTAGGCGACGTGATTTTAAGCTTATTGTCACTTCTGCCACTCTCAATGGTGAGAAGTTCTCAAACTTCTTTGGTGGCGTACCAATAATTCACATACCTGGAAGGACTTTTCGAGTTCAAATATGTTATAGTAAAACCCCATGTGAAGACTATGTCGAAGCTGCAGTTAAGCAAGCCATGACTATCCATATTGCTGGTGCCCCTGGTGATATACTCATCTTCTTGACTGGTCAGGATGAGATCGAAGCAACCTGTTATGCACTTTCAGAGAGGATGGAACAACTTATCTCATCAACAAAGCAACCAGTACCCAAGCTGTTAATTCTTCCTATATACTCTCAACTGCCTGCTGATCTTCAAGCAAAAATTTTCCAGAAAGCTGAAGATGGGGCTCGCAAATGCATTGTTGCTACTAATATAGCTGAGACGTCCCTGACCATTGATGGAATTTTCTATGTCATTGATACAGGCTATGGTAAAATGAAGGTGTACAATCCCCGTATGGGTATGGATGCTTTGCAAGTGTTCCCCATTAGTCGAGCTTCTGCAGACCAACGTGCTGGTCGAGCTGGTAGAACTGGTAGAACTGGCCCAGGGACTTGTTACCGACTTTATACAGAGAATGCTTATGAGAATGAAATGCTGCAAAGCCCAGTGCCAGAGATTCAACGGACAAATCTTGGGAATGTGGTTTTGCTGCTCAAGTCTCTCAAAATTCAGAACTTGTTGGATTTTGATTTTATGGATCCACCTCCTCAAGATAGCATCCTTAACTCCATGTATCAGTTGTGGTTACTAGGTGCACTGAACGATGTTGGTGATTTAACTGACCTTGGACGAAAAATGGTGAAGTTCCCATTGGACCCTCCCCTTGCCAAATTGCTCCTGATGGGGGAACAATTAGAATGCTTAAGTGAGGTTCTGACAATTGTTTCTATGCTTTCAGTGCCGTCAGTTTTCTTTCGACCTAAGGATAGGGAAGCGGAAAGTGATGCTGCTAGGGAAAAGTTTTTTGTGCCAGAATCTGATCACCTTACATTGCTTAATGTTTACCAGCAATGGAAAGCTAATGAATACAGAGGAGACTGGTGTAATGACCATTTTTTACAGGTCAAAGGTCTGTACAAGGCTAGGGAGATAAGATCCCAATTGCTGGACATCCTCAAGACACTCAAAATTCCACTCACATACTGTGGTCCTGATTGGGATGTTGTGCGGAAAACAATCTGTTCCGCATACTTTCATAATGCAGCTATGCTGAAGGGGATTGGGGAATATGTTAATTGCAGGAATAGAATGCCTTGTAACCTGCATCCCACAAGTGCTCTCTATGGATCGGGTTACACTCCCGATTACATGGTTTATCATGAGGCAATCTTGACGACAAAGGAGTACATGCAGTGTGTGACAGCTGTGGAGCCTCACTGGTTAGCAGAGTTGGGGCCAATGCTTTTCTCCGTGTAAGATTCTGATTCATTAATTCAAGAACATAACATGAAACAGAAAACTGTTTTGGTTAGTATGTGTTAACTTCATTAGATATCTACTTGTGATTTGTTGTTGTTTAAGTTGTTTTGGATATTTTTTACCATTTGATGAATATTAGGAAAAGATCATTCCAAAAATATAAGACTATATATGCATTGTTAAGCGATTGTTTGCGCGGTTGTTTAGGTCAGACTATGAATTTGTGTCATTTAAGAAAATGGTACACACCATATTTAAATATTATAGCTTGGATGTTTGTCAAAAGTGTAAACAAAGCGATTGTTAACCTGTTTCTTGTGAGCTTTAGTTTAGGTCTATTATTAATTTTTAGCTATGAAGAATAATTCTATGACTGTATAATTTGAGAAAGTATTAAGTTGTTGTCTGGGGGAAGACTGAAAATCTGGATTCGAAGGGACCTTTTCAGTTTTCTGTTTTTGCCGTTTCCTTTTAATTATCCTGATTGCATTATGCCAATGTTTAGCTTTGTATTATACACATATTAATGTACTTTTGATACATTTTTGAACAATGTATTGGAATGGGAGCAAATGATGTACAGACTGAACGAGGCGTCGAGGAACGTCATGGCATTGATGATAATGTTGATGCTTTGAAGAGCATAATCAAGATCAGCGTCAGTAATTCAATATTGGGTACCACATAGTGGTCGAGGGCTCATTCAACAGTCAATAGAACTTAATATACAGGTGTATATTCAGAATTTAGACGCCTGAATCTTAAAAAATACAGCCTTAGTCTAGGCTCTAGAACAAATGCAAAAAAAAACAAAGCTGGAGTTAGTTTAAACCCTCCTATGTCCATATTCTTAATTCTGACTGGTTTGTTCTGCCTTATGTGCATTAACTTGAATCTTCAGTAAACATGATACTATTTCTTCCATACTTGGACGATTTGTTGGTTCTCGAGTCAAGCATCTTAAGCTTAGGTTGGCTACCAAAAATGCTATTTCCAAATCATCATCTTCCCTCATGTCTGCTTTGATGAATCCATCCAGTTTGATTTCTGCATTTTCTCCTTCCATTATTGCAGCTACTGCAGCAGAAAGCAGAATTTCTCTACTTTCCTCTACAATTACCGCGTCTTTTCCGGTGACTAATTCCAACAGTACAACTCCAAAGGCATAAATGTCCATCTTTGAAGTCACTGACCCTCTCTCAACGTACTCAGGCGCCATGTATCCTCTTGTCCCCACAAGCTCCCAAGTCGTGCCTGATGTATCTGTTTCTTTAGCAAGACTGAAGTTTGCAATCTTTGCTCGTATGTTGCTGTCGAGGAGAATGTTTCTACTGTTGATGTTCTTGTGGATGTAGCCTGGTTTGGTAAAGCTGTGAAGATAATGAAGTCCATTAGCTACATCCAACGCAATCTGAATCCTTTTTTTCCAGCTTATGGTATCTCGAGACTTGGTTCTGGTCAGCCATTCCCTGAGAGAGCCATTTTTCATGTATTCAAAGACAAGAAAGAAGCAACCTTTATGTTCACAATAGCCACAAAGCTTTATTAGATTGAAGTGATTGATCTTATGCAGCATGTTCACTTCTCTAGATACATCCGTGATCGCCATTTTGACTGCTAATATTTCCCCTTTAAACCCTCCCCAGTATACAGATCCCTTTATCCGGTTCTTGGAGTCAAAGTTTCGCGTAGCATGCTTCAATTCTTTGAACTTGAAAACTTTAGGGACATGATCTATGTTCGCGATCTCCACGAGGATATCTTCATGACTTGAAGACCTCCTCGGAAATTTTCTATCCCTTTTCTTAAACAAAGCAAGAAGGATGACCCAAGAAACCACAAGCAGTAACAGAACAAAGCCTGTTGCAACTCCACTACCTATGTAAAGATTTCTCTTTGATTTTCCCTTTGAAGCATTAGCTGCAGGTGGAGGTGAAAAGGACCTAATAGGTTTTCTGTAATTCTCATTTCCGGTATCTAAATTTGACGGTTCAAAAGGCAGGGGAATTAGAATGGTTGTAAAAGGATATAAAACAGAATTTTCATCCAAGAATCCATTTGCTTCGACTATGTTCCTTACATTAACATTAAATCTTTTGCCAACTTTAAGGATGTCATCGCCAACGTCAATTGAATAAGTCATCAAATACTTTGAGCCTTTTGCAGCTTGTTTTGCTGTTGGACAGGCACACCTGAGAGGAACTTGCAACTCAAGACCAGGTCTCAAACTGAACTCATCATATTCATTTCGACGTACTAATGCATTACAGGTTGATAATCCTTGGTAAGTATTATTTGCTATCACAAAGTATGTTTCAATAAGAGCTGATATATAGTACATGGTTTTGGCTTGATAATACAAACCTGAACAAGAGCAGTCCACTGGAATTATAACCTCCTTTTCTGGCGCGAACACTGTAAGCCTCGTGACATTGTTGATACGAGCAATCTCAGACATGTTTGAAGACATGAGAGCAGCAATTCCAGGTACTGAATTGTAAGGATCCCTAGCCTTGAATATGAGAAATGCTTGACAAGTGGAATTTCTTCCATTGCAAGAGTAATTCGTTTCGTATTCCTTTTTGCAATTCAATACTGAATTACCTGAGTATTCTTGTTGAGTTTTGGTACATGAAATTAGAAAGTTCAGTATGCAGAGAATATTCAGAAACCAATTCATAGCTGTTGTTTTCTTGATTAAGTATATGAACATGGAGGAATTGGTCTTGTGAATATATTTTGTTGGATTATGTATAATATAAGTATAAACGCGTTAAACATTATTAAATTTTGTATATATTATGTCTCATTCGGACTTAATTTGATCCAGAAAATTTGTTTAAACATAGAGGAATGTGTCATCCTATCAGAAGACTACAAAGTCAAGTGGGATTTTTATTAAAGAAATCAATGCAGATGTGACAATAATTCTTGACTAGACTATGCAAATGTGTCATTCTATTATCAAGAATTGTTATTATTCTTATGTTCCCATTCAAGGGGCATCAAGAGAATGAAAACAACAACAACAACATACTGGTGTATTCTCACTAGTAGGGTCTAGGAAGGATAGAATATATGCAACACAAATCTTACCTCTACCTCGTGGAGATAGAGATGATTTTTCCGAAAGACCATCAGCTCAAATAACAGACATAAAGAAGAATTGAGTTTAGAAATTTTGATTTAGTAGACGTTTCATCTACTATGTGTGTCTCGAAATGGTGAAAGCAATATTTTACTTGGAGCAATATTGGTTTATTGTCACAATTCCAGGACTCGATTGATACAACAACATACGTTGTGAAATTCCACAATGATACTTACTTTTGATTATTTTCAAACGGCGTTACATGTATAAGGAGATATTTTACTTGGAAGCATGTTACTTTTGCTCGAACTATGTATGTATATCAATAGTTGAAAACTCCTGAAAAATGAATATTCGTGTTAAATTCAGTCATCGTCACAAAAAAATATTGAATGATACAGAGTTATTTTATGCCAATTAATTTAAAATCTTGAATTAGTCTCGGAAAATATGGTACGTAAAGAACAACAATAATCATAAAAGGGAAAAATTAAAAGGAAGAAAGGGAACTAGAGTAGTAGGAACATATCCAATTCTATTTGACATCGAGTTAGAATAATTTTTAGATGATTTAAATACGCGATTAGATATTGTAAGTGGCAGATTTAAATATTGAATGATACAGAGTTATTTTATGCCAATTAATTTAAAATCTTGAATTAGTCTCGGAAAATATGGTACGTAAAGAACAACAATAATCATAAAAAGGAAAAATTAAAAGGAAGAAAGGGAACTAGAGTAGTAGGAACATATCCAATTCTATCTGACATCGAGTTAGAATCATTTTTAGATGATTTAAATACGCGATTAGATATTGTAAGTAGCAGATTGATTATACATGTAAGACCGGGTAAAAAAAAAGAAGGTAGACTATGCTGAACTTACTATCAGTGACTGTAAATCAACCTATAAGACATATACATAAAAACAAAAACAAACAAAAGGTTATTGATGAGTGATTTGTTTGTTAGTTTAGTATGAAGTAACCCAAAATCTCCATATAGATTGTCTTCAATTATAAATTTATATTTATAAGGTAAGATAAGAGTTGTTGCTTGTGGTTAAGAAATTACGAGTTCAAGTCATGAGAAGAAAGTTATTATTGAAAATGTGCGATAATGACATGTACACATAGAACTTAATTTAGGGGTGGTAAACTATTAACTAATTCATGGAAACACAAACTATCACCACCATTCAACTCCGACATGTTAAAATTTGAACAGGTTAATAACCTGTTTATTTATTAACTCATATTTATTGAAGTGAATTGGTCTAGAGGATTAGTTTTTTAAAAAAAATATCATAGACGACATTACATAACACAGTAACAAAATTTAAAGTTTTTTTAGCTCGAAGAAGTTTGGAGCCGCTAAGTCCTTAGATTAAAAAAAAATATTCCCTCCGTTTCACAAAGAGTGACCTGGTTTGGCTTGACACAAAGTTTTAAAAAATAAAAAAGACTTTTGAATCTTGTGGTCCTAAATTAAAGTTATGTCAAATGTACTAAATTGTCCTTCAATCTTGTGACTTTAAACATATCACGTGGAAAGCTGAAATTAAAATGTTACAAAAAAAGGAAAGAGGTCATTCTTTTTGAAACATACTAAAAAGGAAAGGAGGTCATTCTTTTTTAAACGATAGTAATATTATACGTGAATTTTCACAACTTCAATCTTGTATGTATAAAGTTAATTCTAAAGTTACTAAATTTACATGTTATAAATTCGGTTATATCCCAAATAAGTCTCAAATTGGCTATTTGTGCACTTCTCCTTTCGAGTGGACTGGATTAGCCAAGATCCAAATGATTTGGCCCAAATTAGAATGAGATATGTACATCTTTGTTCATCTTTATTTTTCCATATTTGACGATATACATCTTAAACATAATAAATAACGAATAATTTTACTATATTATTCTTTTTAATTATAAGTCATTTAAATATTTGAGAAATAAATAGTATATTTAATAATAAAGATAAAATAGTACAAAATAATAAATTATCTCTTGATTTTTATAATTGAACAACTATTTTAATGCCCCTCTTTTATATTAATCTATTGTATCAATTTAAAGCTTATATTTAAATACATAAACAACTATTTATTTATAAATTAAATTTTAACACTTTAAAGTATTTTTCATCACTTGACTACTTTGTTACCACTAATATAAATAGCTTTTTATTCACCTACAAAATTTGACAATAGAAAATTTAAAAAAATTCAACTTCAATTTACGCACAAATCAATTCAAACTATTGTTGATTATAGTAAGACTCGTACTCAATTAAACTTAGCTTAATCATTATTTTTCTCATATATATGACAATAATTCCAATCAAGGCATCATTCTCTTTAAGAAAACAATCAATATCATTTTGATTCTAAATTGGTCATGATTTATGTTTAAACTATTTGATGATCTTCACCATCATTTTTTAATAATACTCCTATTAACTTCAAATACTCAAAATAAGGAAGAAAAAAAAGAATAAAATAATTACTTAAACAATCAAAGAGGGAGAAAGGAAGTCGGGGATAATCTCGTGTTTGAATCCTAAGCATAAAATAGTATCTTTATAAGGAAACATTTTAGATTTTCAACGCAAATTCAAATATAATCAGATGAGCTTTAAGTACGGAGTATATTGGTTAAGAAATGGTTTAGATTTTTCGAAGCAAACTCAAACATAATCAGACCTCAAGAGAAATGATCTTGTACTTGAGCTCTAAGTACACAATATCTTTGTTTTCTTAACATTTTAGATTTTTCTATGTGAATTCAAATTTAGTCAAACCTCAAAAGAAATAAACCCGTATTCGAGTTCTGAGTACGAAATATTTTTATTAAGAAACATTGAAGATTTAATCAAACCTCAAGAGAGATGATCTCGTATTCAAATTCTGACTACAAAATATCTTTGTTAAGAAACATTTTAAATCTTTTGACATGAATTCAAATTCAGTCAAACCTAAAAAAAGAAATAATCTCATATTCAAGTTCTGAACTCATATCGAGCTTTAATATAAAATATTTTTATTAAAATACCGAACACCGAGCAAAAATGGAAAAAAGAACAAGAGAAAGAGGGGGAGACAATAGAGGGTGCATCCTTTCTATTAAAGTAAAAAAAATTAATACACTTGCTTTCAGTATCCTTTCTTTCTCAGATTCTCTTCTAACTATTTTTCTCTCCATGTATAAATAGAGAGACCCATCATTCATCTTCAATCTTTTTTGCAGATTCTCATTTCAGCAGCAGCAGCAGCAGGTTCACATAATTTTGGTATTTTCTTGAGCTATTTGCTTATAGTTTTATCAGATTCAGCGATAAAAAGGGTTCTTTTATGTGTTTTTCTTTTTTGTTTTCAAGTTTTGTTCTTACCCAGATCGTGAAATCGATTGAATTATCTATGGTTGCTCTTTAATTTGAACCCCTTTTGATAAATTTGTTGATTTTGAAGAATTTTGTCCAGAAATTATGCTTCTTGGCGTCGTGTTTGATCTTAGTTGATGGCCTGTTTTATTTGTTTTTAGTTGGAATTGATTGAATTTTTTTGTTGTTGTTAAATTTTTAAGTTTGGGTAGTGGAAAAGTGCTAGTAGAGAGAACCTCTCAAAAAAAGATTATTTTTTTAGCATTATTAGATGTTGGTTGCTTATTGATATGCTGTTCGGACTTTACAAAAATGGTGCTGTCGGATTCTCAAAAAGCAGTGCATTTTTGGAGGATTGTGACACGAGTGTGGCATTAATTGCTCTAGTTTTGTTAAAGCTGAAGTCTTTTCGTGCATCTTTCCAAAATAACGTCACATGTGCGGGAAGCTACAATTGTGACATTATTTTTGAAGAACCTGAGCAACCTAGCCAGTTTGTGATCTTAACTTCAATAAGTGTTTGAAGCTACAATTGTTGTTTCCTAGTTTAATTGCTCTAGTTTTGTTAAAGCTCAAGTATTTTATTGTGTCTTTCCAAAATAATTGCACACCTTTGGGAAGTTACAATTGTGGCATTATTTTTGGAGAACCTGAGCGACAGCCAGTTTGTGATCTTATTTTTGAGTCTGAATAAGTGTTTGAAGCTACAATTGTTGTTCCTAGTTTAATTGCTCTAGCCTCTAGTTTTTTTAAAGCTCAAGTATTTTCTTGTGTCTTTCCAAAATAATGCTGCTATATAATAAAACAGAAAAGGGCTAGCTTGATTATGCTGAATTTTACGTTTGATTTGCGGAATTGTCCCAAGCTAGAGTTTGGTGCAGGGTTGTTCTATGCATATATCTGTTAAGATATCTATGTTTAGTTCTGGCTGAGAATAGGTTCAGCGATAGTACCCTCGGTTGGAAAAATTAGTGTTATCTCAAAATGGAATATTCATTATTAAATACTCTTATTGTCCATAACCAGAGGTGAATTTATAGCCTAAAAATGGGGCATGTGAACTCGTGCTCTTTCCGTAGAACTAGGTATTTTATGTATACATTGTCTAAGGTCACAAGAAGGCTAAATGGTGCACTTGGTTGAATGTTGAGTTATTTATCTAGAGGACTAGGGATCAATTCCTACTTAATACAAATTTTTGTTCTTCTTTTTAGGGGTGCACCATGTTCTAGAAATCCTAGATTCGCCTTTGTCCATAACGTACAACTTGAATTCTATTATGTAAATTGATTTTTGGCCAGTGAATGACTATTATTATGAGATAATATTTCTAGTGAATCCTCTATCATATTCCATCTATTAAAGTCCTTGAATAGCCTTCAATTGACTTGAATGACATTTTACAATATTCAAATGGTTACACTTCCCATAAGTGAGCCATTGTCCATTATATTTTGTTGTCAGATGTTAGCATCTTTTCCCTTCTTTACTCCTATATATTCTCTACTAGAAGAGCTTATTGAATCGTAGGGGACAATGTCTTTGACATGCCTCAAGCTTTCAAGAGTTCTCGACAGGTTTCGTGATCAAGTATTTTCCATAAGATTCCAACACCAATTCCAAAGCTTAAATGGTAGTGAAAAAGAAATACAAAAAGTTGAAGTTTTTTTTTTTCCTGCTTTAAAGCTCAGAAGAGTTATTGGAACATGTCGCAGAAACATTGGCTAGTTATAAAGAAATGATTTTTATATTCTTTATTCATATTAGCACAGGAGGGTAGTCGATTCAGAAGACTTACAATCTCTAGATTTCAGATTTAACAAGTGCAACCGAATATGTTAGAAGTAAAAGATCCATTCAAGTGATACCAACTAGCTGAGATTAAAATATTAGTGTGTGTGAGGAATCCTTTTATCTTGATTAGAGACTTGTACATCTCTATAAGAATAAATGTGAAATTTGAAGAACCTTTAGTTCAAGAGAACTTCTAATTTGCTTTATTATTCAATATTGAATGAACTTGAATAGCATGTAAAATGATACAGAGATTCATATTTTCGAACCCAAATACTTTGGGGCAGAGGCTCAGTTGACAACTGCAGGAATTTTTATGTACTTAGATGTTGTTATTTGTACTTATAAATGAAAAAGATGGAGAAGATTCATTTTTCATGTATTTCATCTCGTAGTTCTTATTATGGTTCAACGTGTCATTTTGCTTTTGTAGGGACCATGATTAAGCTATTTAAAGTAAAGGAGAAACAGAGAGAGCTTGCTGAAAATGCTAATGGAAAGCCTCCAATTAAGAAACAAAGTGCAGGAGAGCTGCGTCTTCATAAAGGTATTTCCTTTTCGCTTTCTTCGTAAAATCTTTCAAATCAAATAAGTACTTAATCATTTCGTTTCATGCAAGGTAATTTCTTCTTTCTTTTAGCATACCAAATTGGTCAATTTAGATTTGATTAGCTAAGGTTTCATTTCAGTTGTGTGTTTACCCTTTAGAGATCTTCCATGTAAAGTTTCAGATGAAATAGTGCACTCTGATTATAATTTGAGACATGAGAAGTTGTGGTTCATGACATGAACCAGTTTTCTCCTCTTTAGTACCATGGGAACACGTGGCAGTGTGTAGTAAATGTAGAATCTTCCAAATGTAAGATGATCCTGAGAAAGGTCATAGGTTATCTCGGTAGGCCAGTGTTGTCAAAGGCGTGCTTATGCCCTGAAGTGAGGCGCAAAATATGTTGAGCGCTTCGCCTCGCTTAATGTGCAATTCAAGACTCTAAGATATACTTTTTTACTCATGAAAGTTTCCTGAAGAGGTGATACTAAACGATTAATATTTTACTTCATTGTACATATTTTTTTTTCAATTCTTTGTTCATATATTTGATGTTCATACTTATAATTGTTAGTCTCGAATCAAACATATATATTTTTACTTTTCTCCATTGTGACGTTTTTCATTAAAGCTTACACTTTACTTGCGCTTTGCACTTAAAGCCCCAAGTCCCAACAGAGCTTAGAGAATTTTTGTGCTTTTTGCTTTTGATAACACTGTGGTAGGCTGAAAAAATTGTAAGAGAGAATGTAGTGCTTCCTGATAAAAAAAAAGTAAAAAAATTAGAAAATGTAGTGCTTTACTGGAGGGGGTGGGAGTTGTTGATCTCAGGTATTTCACAAACAGTGCGTCCACCAGCTACAACTACAAGTTTACAGGCCCATGCTGTGTATTGCTAGAATCCAACGTGTGTGTCAAAGTGGACCCCCCTTAAGGTGGTTCTTTGTGACAGTGAAGGTAAGAAGTGGGAGGTTGGACCGTTGGAGGAGGGTTAGTGTAAATGGAGGCCAGAAGGCAGTGAAATTTGGAATGCCTCTCAATTTCATATTTCATCATTCACGGGTTTCCCCAAATCTCCCATATATTGCTGTAGAGATTTGATGTGATTTATTGTCATTTCTATGTTGACTCCTTTTACTCGTATAGAGGCGAAAATCGTGTTATGTTTGACCATCCACTGTTGAAGATTGATGTTGCTTGAACATCTATATGTGACAGCTAACTGCATAAGACACTCACATATATTGAGAGTGAAAAGTGAAGATTGTTGTTGCTTGAATCTTGATGCAAAGCACTTTCTAGTGAAGGGGTTTTCTTCGTCTTTCTTTAGATTGATGAACTTTTTGACGGAAGTTCATGAATGATTGTATCAGTTCCTTCCTTCATTGCCCCATTTTCGGATTCATCATAGAATGTTTCCCCTTATAATAAAGAATCTATACAAAAAGGATTCATTTATTTTTCTTTGTTCTGAGTGGTTCTTTTCTCCGACTATTTATTTGTCTTCTATTTTTTTCCTCACTAATGAAATTGTGAGATGGTCTTAACGTTTTTCTTGTTCCCTGTAGATATCAGTGAACTAAATCTACCTAAAACGTGTAGCATATCATTCCCTAACGGAAAAGATGACCTCATGAACTTTGAAGTCACCATTCGGCCTGATGACGGATATTATATGTAAGTAGTTTTGCTGAAACTATTCTCTCTCTTTAATGGTGTATATTCCTGAAAAAAGCTTACTTCGACTTGGATATACCTTTCTGCTTTCGTATTTTATGGAAAATTGGTGCGCTTCAAGTTAGCTTCCCTCGGTGCTGATAACATACATTGTATTATTTGTTCGTATTCAGGGGTGGAACTTTTGTCTTCTCTTTCAGCATTTCTTCTATTTATCCTCATGAGGCTCCAAAAGTCAAGTGCAAGACGAAGGTGGGTAATGGTTTGTAGCTTTTTCTATTCGACTCTTTTAATTTCTTGAAGAATGAATTTAGATTCCAATTGTTTTATCCATTAGCTCTGGAAACTCGGATTTTGCAGGTTTACCACCCGAATATTGACTTGGAAGGAAATGTATGTCTCAACATTCTTCGAGAAGACTGGAAACCTGTGCTCAACATCAACACAATAATCTATGGCTTGTATCATCTGTTCACGGTACTTTAACTTCCTTCTAGTTTGATGTAGTTTACACTACTCTAAGTAGTTGGTAGTTATAACTTCCGATTCTGCAGGAACCCAATCACGAAGATCCCCTCAATCATGAAGCAGCTGCTGTGTTGAGTGACAACCCGAGCATGTTCGAGTCCAATGTCAGAAGGGCAATGTCTGGAGGATATGTAGGGCAAACGTACTTCCAACGCTGCATGTAATGTCTCAAATGCAGAATCAATTAGTTGATGATGATGATGTCGATGCCGGAAGTTGAAGGCTCTCAAAGTCTGTAAAGTTGGACCAGAAAGAACCATTTTTACATGTGGTTATTGTGAAAAAGATTGAGTGCAAAATGTTATTAGATACATGCAAAACTTAAAACCTGCAGAAAGTTTTCTGTATGATATGAGTGTAAACTTTGCAACAACTCATGCAAGAAGGACTGAAGGTGTTAGAGACCTCTGCTTGGGTGAATTTATGTTTTTGGCTATCTTGTGCTTCGATTATTGTATTATTTTGTGGTAGTAACATTTTATATGACAATGTCATGCTATCTACAACATTTTGTCTTAGCTTCTAAACTCCGTTGTTGCTCTTTTTCAAACTACTGTGTTGTTTTTATTTGAGTCGAGAGTCTATCGGAAACTACCTTTCTTTAGATCTTGTAGGGGTAAGGTTTGTGTATTTGCTATCCTTTTCAGACCCTATCATCGTGCATTTCGATTATCTAATCATATATATAAAAGAGAAACATAGACAAGGTGATGTGGCACCTCTCTATGGCCTCCATTCCTATTTATCTTTTTTCTTCTTTTTTTGGCTTTTTTTTTTTCATTTCTTTTCATTAAATAATTTGTTTATTAATTAAAAAATTCAATCATATTTACTCTTCTAATTATATCTAATAAGTTACAACAAAACCTCCATCTATTTACATTCCCTACTTAAATAATATGTCTCTTCAACTTATTTCTAATTATTCTTATGGTTTACACAATCTATAAATAACAATTATCAATGTTCAATGTTCATTTTCATTTTCATTTTCTCATTCTTTCTTTTTATTAGTATAGTTTTTTCCCTCTTTTTATTTTTTTTCTTCATCTTTTTTATCAATCATGTACTTAATAATGTCACCATATGGTCTTCATTTTGATAAAGATCATAAATATATTCTTCAAGAATAATCACATGGATGTTCACATTAGTTTGATACAAGTTCATCAAAATGAAGAACGAAGATTTCATCAAGAAGATGATCATATTAGCACAAAAGTTTGAATGATTTTCAAATATTTTGAAGACTCATTCATGTATTGTTTGATTTCAATTAATATTATTCTATTCTTTTTTATTTTATTTTGATTAGATATATAATTTCATGTTATTCAACAAAAATTAAATTATGAAACTCTACTAATCATCATATTAGAAATCTCAATTAGCATTTTTTACTCATTTTACTTTGCTCTTCTTCTTCTTCTTCTTCTTCTTCTTATTACTAGATAATGTTGCCCGTGCTATGCACGGGCCCAATAATATAAATGGTATGTTTGGGAGCTAATAACTGAGTTTTTGAAGCGATTGTTTGCGTGGATAAAGAAATAAGTTTTTTTTTATCACAAACATGTACTTTCTTTGACGCTATTTAAGGCATAATAAGACTACCCACGTACAACATTTTTGAAATATTTTATGTTGTCAATTACCATGATTTATAGTATTTTTACGATAGATTCACTTCAAGAATCAGTGGAATTTTTTGTATTTTTTTCAAAACATATTTTATGTTGTCAATTATCATGATTTATAGTATTTTTATGCAATTTTTAAATATAAAAAAAACAAAAAAAATAAGACAAATAAATTAAAATGGACCCAATATATGTTATTTTTGTTGTCTCAATTTATGTGACACAAATGAAATTTGGAGAGTCAATCCAAATTTTCATATGTTTTTTTTAAAAAATTTAAGTTATTAATTATTGTGATTTATATAAATAACGTACATTACTGGTCACATTGTCCTAATTTATGTGATATGGATAAAATTACAAAATTAACCCTTTTAAAATATCTATATTTTAAGTTGTTGATTATTATTATTTATAATATTTTTTTGGTAATTTTAAAATGATATGTGTTATTTTTTCTGTCCCAATATATGTGAGCCTGATACAATTCTGAGAGTCAACCTATTTTATTATATAGCTTTTAAATATTTTAAATTGATAATTATTGTAATTTTTAATGCTTTTTAAGTCATTTGTAAATGATATATGTTGCTTCCTTGATTGGGACTTTTCCATTTGTGACCTATATATATATATATGTCACAAATGGAAAAGTCTCAATCAAGGAAGCAACATTTATCATTTACAAATGACTTAAAAAGCATTAAAAATTACAATAATTATCAATATATATATATATATATATATATTATTTTAAAAGGGAGTTAAATATAATATATAATATTCAAGAAAGTTCCAACTTGAATATTATATATTATACTTGGGCATAGTAGAAATTTTAAAAGTCCCACAAGTATAATATATAATATTGAAGATTGAGAAAAGTCCCAATCTTTAATATTATATATTATAATTGGGCCTAAACTCCCTTTTATAATATAGTAGAAAATTATGTGAATAAATGAAGATGAAACATTATACGATTTTATTTTTGTGTATATCTGTTTGTCAAGTTCTAATTAATATTTTAATTTTTGTCATAGTTGGAAGATATAATATTACACATGATACATTTCTCATAGCTATTGCATAATGTTGCCCCTAAAAATATATGATATGGTTTGTCATATTAAAAAACAGTCACAAAATAAATTAATAAATAAATAAATAAATTATCTTTTTAGTATTTTTAAAACTTTTAATTGATAAACAAATTATTTAATGAAAAGAATGAAGAAACAATTTTCCCTTAGTCACATTAATTATATTCACAACTAAAAAAATGTTATTTATTTAACTTCTCTTAATTATTGTAAATGATAAACATAAAAAAAGTGATGTGACATTTATCTTTTGTCTCTTTTTTTGACTTTTTTTCTTATTTAAATTAATTATTTTTTGTAAAAGTAATTTACTTAATTAAATACAAACAATTAATTATTAATGAAAGAACATTTACAACAAAAAACTCTTCACATACTAATTTATTAGGAGTAATAACTATCCATAACTCACACTTTCTAATTTCCACTCTTAATAAATTAATTTTCCATTTTATTTTCTTTTTTTAACCTTTTTCTAATTATAAATTTTAAAATAACAATTTTTTAAAGAATATTTTAAGTTACTTTCTCTTAATTATTTAATTACAACCAATATATCTATCTATATATAAAGTTAAAATATTAGATATAAACAAGATAATGTGGTACCTTTCTATATTTATCTTTTCTAAACTTTTTAGCATTTTCTTTATTTTTTTCACCGGTGTGATATTTTAAAAAATAATTACTCAATAGTATTATTCTCCATAATTCACATTTCTTGATCTCTGCAACTTCTATTTTTAATTGGTAATTAAAAATATTCATGACTTCAAAACCTTTCATGTGGATAACCCCCTAAATTAATTAATGTGCAAGTTATGTATTTTATCTTATCTTACTTAGTTGCTACAAGTAACAATTTTAAACTGAGGAGATTTTCTATAGAGTTTTGTATTTTATTAGCATTATTTTTTATATATATATTATATATATTTATAAGAGTATACTAATAGTTTTGGTATATTGCCATCATTTTTTTTTCCGTTTATGTTGCTATTTTTTTATTTTGAATGTTTGATTTTCATATTAGATTCACGCTAGATTAAAAAAATTAAGTATAGTATATTATTAATTGAATAATGCAAATATGATATTCCTATTGGATTACTTGTGTAGTGTTGATATGATATTTCAATATACTGAAGATGATTTTCACCAAAATAAAAATCTATCTTTTATTATTTTACAAGCAACAAATTTTAAAAGATATAATTTTTTAGATAAAATAATATGATAAACATGACTTGAAATTAGTGACATATTTCCACTCTAGGAATTTTAGTAATATATATATGACGTGTTAAAAAAGTTAGAGAATGTAAATTCTGGATTTTATTAAATTATTGTTTATCTATTTATTTAGAGTAACTTTTTTCATAATTTTTTATGAACACCGTGAAATATAACTCCGTCCTAAAAATATAATTTAGAATTTATTGAAGACACACAAACAGAAAGAAATTTTTCTTGAAAATATTTTCTTTCCTTACACGTTTTTAAAGATAACATATCAAATAGATTATACGAAATCAACTATATTTAAAGTACTAAAAGCATAGGTAGTGGATTATAAGTTGAAATATAATTTATTGGGTTCAATGGTAATAATATTTGACTCAAAATATTTTTGTAAAAATTATTCATAAATCTAATGAGATCCGCGCGAAGCGCGAATGTGTTTACTAGTTATTTTATAATAGTATTGTTACATTTTTAATAAGCATTGCCATCCTTTCTTTAACATTTTGTGTTGGCTTCTTTACTCTGTTGTTTTTACTTGAGTTGAGAGTCTATCGGAAATCGCCTCTCTTTATCTTGTAGGGATAAAGTCTGTGTACTCACTATTCTTTTTCATATCCTACCTATATTCATTTGAAGAAAAAAAAGAAAAATATTGATTTCCTCAGCAAATAATTGATTATTTCCTACGTGGCAAATTTCTATTGGCTGGTTGACTGAATTTTAATTAATAATTAAAAGAGACAACTCTGCTAACAAATCATTTTGCAGAAGAAAGAGAAAAAAAAAGTGAAATAAAGAAGAATTGTTCCCCACCCACAAGGCCATAATCCCACAACATGTGCTTGGTTTTGTACAATTACTTAAATAATCTTACTATATTTATTATTATATATGTATGACTTTTGATTTGATTAAAAATGAAATTCGAAATAATAATTTGACTTATATATTATGTTAATCTCAATTTATATACACTACCTTTATTTGTGATTTTTAAAAGTTAAAGCGAAATTAAATAACATATTTATGTATTATGTCTTTGATAAATTAAGGGTTGTTTAGTGGTTGATTAGAGTTATGCAAATATTAATAATATAAAGGTCAATCATGTAGATTTAATTATTCATGTAGTTAGTTATTTAATTTTCTATCCAACATAAAGTGATAAGTAATTTATATATGTATTAATTATGCTAGATTGTAAAATTGGTAACCGAATAAATCACTTGGTACACTGAATTTTATACATTACAACTAAAGTTCTACTTAATATGGTACTAGTTATCATGAGTTTGATACATAAATAATTCACTTCTTATTAATCACACGATCCTTTTAGTGATACATTAATAATTCACTTCCTAACCAACAATCATACGACTCCTTGGGGTTGTTTGGTAATTGGTCAGAATTATACAGATTTAATTATGCTTATATTAATTATGCGGTATTAATTATTTCGTCTTCTCATCCACATAAAATAATACACAAATTTCATTAGAATCAATGCATGTATTAGTCATGCGGGTTTTAAAATTACAAATCAAATATCTCATTAATTT